CCCATTAACTCTAAACTGTCTGGACAGCACAGCTACAACTACCTTCTCCACAGCTTGCCAATTGCATCATCAGTGACATACAACAATCTGCACTGGTCTGAAGTTAAAATCCAAATAAATTTGCTTCCCTGGAATTGGAATACAAAGGTGAAATGGACCTTGGCAGCCTTCCAGTCCAGCCCCCTGCTTAAGCGTTACCAAAACATCAGAATACCATCACACAAATGGCTGTGGAACCTCTTTGTAAAAGCCCGCAGGGATGGAGCACCCACATCTTCCAGAGGGAAGCCGACACACTGATTAATTGTTCTGACTGTCAGGAAATTTCTCCTTAGTTCTATGTTGGATCTCTCCTGGATAAATTTCCATCCGTTACTTGTTGTCCTGCCCTCAGGTGCTTTGGAGAATAGCTTGACTCCTTCTTTGCTGTGACAGCCCCTCAAACACTGGAAGATGCTATCATGTCTCAATCTCCCCCCTCCCCCCCCCCGAACTACTGTAGTAGAGAGATGGGGGGCCTTCCACATCAAACATGTGCCTATCGAAATAGATGCGGAACCTTCATGCTCTCCTTCCATCCGTCAGACAACCATGACCCGGATGACAGAATCCCCATTGTCAAACAAAAAGGAACCAGATCCTTTTTGGAAGGATTTATGAGAAACAGATCGATAAGAAAAAAACTGGATGGATTAAAAAGAATGTGAAGATGAATTTAGTAAAACCAAATAGAATAATATTTAATAATACCCATGTTTCTCATATAATAAGGCTGGGTCTTTTTTTTTTTTTTTTTTGAGCCCCGAAAAAATGGCTAGGCCGTCTTTTCAGGGGTGACTTAATTTCCCACCCACCCCCGTTGCATCTTCGGGCGGGTGGGTGGCGATGGCTTGGATGTTAACCTCGGCGTTGGTGGGGCACTTCGTATCGGAGTAAATGCAGGCAGCACCATATCCGGGTGTGCAACAAAAGTACTTCCTAACGGCAAGCCCCCCCCCACCATTCCCCCCCATTTCGCATGTTTTAATATAGGCCTTAATTTGGGGGGAGGGGCTTAATTTCATTTCATGCCTATAAAACATGCTGGGGCTTCCTATTGAGGGAGGCCGTATTGTTGGAGAAACAGGGTATTAATAAAATAACAGCAGAAATGATTAAAAATTGAGTGAAAAGAATTAAAAATTGGAATTTCCAGGAAATGATCAACAGCATGGCTTTTGGCTCAAATATCTGACTGGCTTACATCCAATTAATAGCTAAACATCTTAATGAAGTATTCATAAAAGAGATAGCAACTGGTTAATAACTGGCAAATCTTATCTGTTTCAAAAAGACCCAACAAGAGGGACAATACCAGGAAACGATAGGCCAATAGCATTATTGTCTAGAAGGTTTAAATTAATCACAGACGTAATAGCAGACAACATCCAAGATTATTTAGAAGGAAAAAAAGGGGGGGGGGGGCAGATTTTAAGCAACTCTTGAGAGGCATAAAAGCTTTGTTTACCAGACCTTTGGCCTCTCTCTGCCAGGTGAGAACAAAAACTAACAAATCTCCTTGCCTCTACTGATCACAGGCCATTCTCACGTAGTTCTGAAATCAACACTCATGCCACACAAAGGTAGGGTAGATTAAGTTGGAGGTGGGTTTTTCTGCCAGATTCAAAGCCTTCTTGAAAGCCAAATTGTAACACTGGCAGAAGGTTTTCAGAATCATCATTCATACTGATGTCCAGCATGTGACTTACAGCTGATACTTAAGACTGATAAGTATATGGTTTTGGGGTTCAGCTTTCTCTCACCTTTGTTGAGGTGAGACAATTGAAGTAAGAAATAAATTGAAATATTATTATCCTTCTCCCCAACTTTAGGAACACGCGTGGTGCAGCCAATCAACAACAACAACAGCAAACGAAGCCAGAATTGCAGGTTGCCTTTCCCGACTGATGTTATGTCCTCATTCCGGGGTCCCACATCCAAATCTAACGTGACAATGGCTTGTTCATCCCTGACAACGCCCGGTCATGTTCTTCCTAAACTGCTGCAGGAATTGAACTGAGGTGCTTCTGCCATGAATGAGATGCAACCATGCACCAGAAAAGTGCTGAACTTTTGGAGTGGGTTGCCGTGATCAATTGCTTGCACGCCATCCTCCTAGCCTCCCTCTTCCTACTTTGAAATAGTATTTCCACTGGGGGTTTGGATGCAGGAAGCTCTGCAGAAGGAAGCAGGATGGATCTTCTCCTCCTGCTTGGGAGACATTGATAAGGGCTCTTTTGTCACTGGCAGCCACAGAACGCTCCTCAATGGGAAGCTCTGAGGTCATTGGCAAGCTTGAATCGGTGGGGCGACCTTCCAAAACTGATGGCTCCCAGGGGAATCTGGAAGGGAGGAAAGAGCAGTGACTCATGTTCTGATCAGGAAGAGATGATCATGAGGATCTGCTGATCCATCAGTCCTTCTGCTGCCTGACAGAATGGTCTTGCCTGATATAATTAATTTTTTTCTGACATGGTACAGGAGGTTGGACTGGACGATCTCCAGGATTCCTTCCAACTCTTTGTTCTGTTGTTATTTTCTCTCATCTATGTCTCGTCTACATCTAACACAAGGAAGGATCTTCCTTGCTTGATCAACCTGGGAGTTCTGAGGTTTAAAAAGCCTTTGCTACGGTGACATCTTCTTGATTATTCTGAGCTCATCAAAGTCGCTGGATATTTCACAAGGTTTTTGATGCAGCGTGTTGATGTACCTCTGCAGCTAATGTGAGGAAACCTTTCTCTGCTCTCTGAGTTGATGAACCAGCAGGATTCTTGATGAGTCAGCGAGGTGGCCCTCTCAAGGCTGAGCAGCTTATCTTTCCCAGCAGGGCTTCTTATAGCTTCTTATCTCCCATTTTCCTCAGCTGCAGGTTGAGAGACCCTTTTCAATGCTGAATTTGCTGCCTTCCTGGAACAGGAGCAAGCCAAGGCATCCCTGTAAGGGAAAGGTTGAATAGGGAAATTCTCAAAGCCCCTTTTGTGGAAATATTGAAAAAGAAGGTGCACCAGGATGGTAAATTGGTGGAAGGTCATCAGAGTAACTGGGTTGGAAGAGACCTGTGAGGTCTTCTAGTCAACCCCCCTGCACAAGCAGGAGACCCGATACCATTCTGGACAAAGGGTCGCCCAAACTCTGCTCAAAAACCTCCAGTGATGAAGCCCCTTCAACTTCTGGAGGGAAGCCATTCATTCCACTGGCCAATTATTCTCACTGTCAGGAAATTTCTTCTTAGTTCTTGGTTGCGTCTCTCCTTGATCGGTTTCCATTTATTGCTTCCTGTCCTGCCTTCAGGTGCTTTGGAGAATAGCTTGACTCCCTCTTCTTTGCAGCAGCCCCTCATATAGTAGAAGACTGCTATCCTGTCTCCCCTAGTCCTTCTTTTCATTAAACTAGACATACCTGCAACTGTTCTTCGTATGTTTTAGCCTCCAGTCCCCTAATCCAAAGTCTTTTGCTGGTGATCTGCTGGGAAGAGCTTCATCATGAGAGAAATGAATATTCTGCAGAGAACAACGCAAAACCTGAGAGAGGGTGGGAAGACGGGTTGCTAGTTTCTCCAGTGACCCCACCACCACGTGGCCTGCTAGCCAAACTGGCTTAGGTAGCAAAGCATTCTTGGTCAAGAAATTGTCCAGTGCTGTGCAGGAGGAGGTCATCCTGAGATCATCTGGGCAGCTGGTTCTCTGCTCTGCCTGGTCGCCTATGTCGGAGCGGAGTTGGAGGGGCTACCACAATATTGTTAACAATAATCTTGCTAACATCCTGTAACAATATTTGTCTGTTCCTCAGAAATTGCCATTAATCTCTAGAAGACTGTTACGACTCAGCGGTAAATAAACAGGAATTGGCGGCGGCAGCTCCTGTTTGTTGAGCAGAACAGAGAAGCCCACTTTTTAAGGATTCTGTAAGTGCAGGGTGCGCACAGAGGCTCCGGGAGGGCGAAAAATGGGCCTCCCGGAAGTTTGGAAAGGCCGGAAACGGGCCCGTTTTTGGCTTCTAGAGAGCCTCTGGAGCCTAGAGAGGCCATTTTTGTCCTCCCAGAGGCTCAAGGAAAGCCTCCGGAGCCCAGGCAGGGCAAAAAAAGCCGTCCCCCCAGGTGCAGGAGGCCAACTAGGCCACGCCCACTCAGCAACCTGGCAGAGAACCCATTGCTGGAAGCCCAGCCCCGCCTAAGCAGGCCCTGCAGAAGAGGAGGGGGAGAGACGGGAGATTTTTAGCCGTTCTGCCCTAAAGCTCCAGGCGTTTTTCAGCTCCTCATTAGCGCTTAAGGAAGGAGAAGGCCGAGCCTCAACGAAGGCCGGCCAGTTTTGGAGTTCGCCGGCCGGCCCTGCGTGGGGCTGGGAAACAGCCGCCAAGATCCAGGGAGCCAGCGAGCAGCCCAGCCGAGACGCCGCAGAGCCGTCCGCCCGCCCGCCCGCCCCGAACAGGCAGCCGAGCATCGCAATCCCCACGCCTTGCGCGGAGGTGCCCGGAAGAGGCTCTTTGCGCCTCAGCGGGGCTGACCGGCTGAGAACGACCCAGCCCTGTTGGCCTCCGTTGGGGGCTTTTTAAAGCCATTTATGTGTCCCGCTGAGCCACCCGGGGACTTGTGGCAACCACGGAGGGGAGGTTTCCTCCCAGAGGCTCCGTCCCCCCGCCTGGCCCCGGGGCTCTTCAGGGAAGAGGATCGCCGGCAGAGACGGGCCGGGGGCGGCTGAGCCCGCTTCTCCAGCCAAGCAGGGCATTCCCCCCCCCCTCCCGTCTACTTTCGAGAAACTCCAACGTCTTTTGCTTTTGGTTCCCGGGAAGGGAGGCGGCCCGCCAAGCGTGCGCGGAGCCCTCGAAGTCCGGCCTTGGAAGCAACTCGGAGGGCTGCAGCCCTGCGCCCGCTCGCCCAACGGCCGCCGGCAGGGGAAGGGCCGGGGCGCGGTTCGAGGGGGCGGGGCGGCTGCGCGGGCCTGCCCGGCCCTCCTCCCCGCCCAGCCCCCGAAGGGCAGCCCGGTCCGGGAGCTGCTTCCCAGGGCCCGTCGTCGGGGGACGAGAGCAGAGCGCGCGGGGCCAGGGCGGCGGGATGGGGCTGTCGAGGCGGGCGGCCTCCTGCGCGGGGCTGCTGCTGCTGACGGCCGTCCTGGCGGTGGGCGCGGGGCTGCTGCTGCTGCTCTACCTCGGCCGGCCCAGGTGCGACCCTCCCCGCTATTGGCACGCGGCTGTGGCCGCGGACACCCGCAGGTGCTCGGAGGTCGGCAGGTAGGCGGAGAGGCAGCCAAAACAGAGACGGGCGGGATGCGCCGTCGGGGACCGCGAGCGACGGCTTGGGGGCGATGGGGGCGCTGCTGCGGACGGGGCGGGCCAATCGACGGGCTCTTTTCGGCGCTGCTCGAGCCGAGAACTGAGCAGGGAAGGAGGCGGGCTGCTCCATCGGCCGCCCGGCCGGCCGTTTCCCCCGCCTCGCCTAAACTCCGTTCCCGGGCAGGCAGAGAGGCGCCCGGGGAGCTCGACGCCGCTTCAGAGCTGCTCGCTTTTGATCCAGGGAAAGCCCCCGGGGGCCTCCAGCGCTCCCGCCGGCCCCGTTGTGAGGCAGCTCCTGGGGCCGGTCCCGTTTCATCGTCGGTTTTCATTGGACATGCGGAGGCTTCAGAGCTTGAAATAGCAACCATATAAAACTTGTAGATAAATCTCAACTACTTGTTGAAACGTTTCCCAGAGCATGTTGCGCACTGTACAGCGAGGTTATTTGCTGTCATCTCGTCAATCAGTTCTTAACTTTTAAAACTTAGCTGCGCTCATTCATCCCACTTAACTCCTGGCAACTTCTTTCCTCGGTTTTTGTCTCAACATAGCCTTAAAATGCAGGCAATTATCTAAGTCATTTATGAAGATATTGAAATGTATTGAGTCTAAAACAGAACCTTGCGATACTCAATTCTTACTTTCCTCCATGTAGATGTAGTTTCATTAGAACTACTTGTTGAGTTCAGTTTGTCAGCCAGTTATAAATTCATCCAGTGGTGATGCTGTCTATCCCACAGTTTTCTAGCTTATGAAGAAGTAGGTTTGGTCTACTTTGATAAATGCCTTACTGAAGTCTAAGTATACTATGTTCACAGCATTTCTCTGGTCTACTAAGTTAGTCACTTTGTCAAAGAATGGAATAAGATTTGTTTGGTATGATGTTTTTGATAAATCCATGTTGGTTTCTGGTTATAACGTTGCTTGCTTTAAGATATTCAAGCAAAGTTATAAATTACACCTGCTTTAATATAATAGTTATTAAAGACATGAATTGCAGTAAAAAAAAACTAATACAGATTAAACTCAAAAAGAGAATAAAAAGTGCAAACAAAAGAAAAACATTGAAATAAAGCAAAAGAGAAATATATAAAGAAGTGATTTCCAATCTCCATCATAAGTGTAAACAAGTTTGGTAACTCTTCATCCCATAAAGTTATTTTAACCTTGATCAAATAAACCAAATTTATAATTTCTTCATTTCATCTCTGAAAATCTTAATTTTTAATTAGCTCAAATATTGTCAGGAGATTTGATCTCTCTTCAATTCTTTATCCCATCACATAAATCCTATCCCATTCTTCAAGGCTTCAGAAATCCTTTTTTACAAATCTAATGAAAAGATATTATCCAAGTCATTCTTGTGGTTTGTCATTTGTATTTCCCCTTTAAGTTTGAAAACTTCAGTCAGTTGGCTTCTTTTGTATATCCAAACCCCATCTGGGTCATTCCCTTGGCCAGGCACTTGTTCCACTTTAAATGCCTTCTCTGTCTTGTAATCTACATTGTTTATGATGCTACTATTTCTGTAGAATTATTTTCACATCTGTCATTCCTTCATTAACATCTTTCACACTTAGTCCATCCATAGAAGCAGATATTTACCAATATTGTTGATATTATGGCTACCTGGCCTCTGTTCATCTTGGTCCAGAAAAAGCCACGGCTGAGATTTAGCAAAACTCAATTGAGACCTCAGTTGTGACAAACTACTCTGAAGACCTGGGCAGCATCTTCTGTAGCAGCTCTAAAGACCTTTTAGAAGACCTTGTCTGCTGCTCCTCATAGAAGGGCCTTTCCATTCGCAGGATTTGAGGGTGTGCAGATGATATATTCTCTCTCTCTCTCTCTCTCTCTCTCTCTCTCTCTCCCTCCCTCCCTCCCTCCCTCCCTCCCTCCCTCCCTCTGGTGTTTTTGGAACTCAGTGCCTCAGGTGCCAATTTAAATTCTTTTCCTAGGACTGGCACCCTCAAAGCTTGCCAGATGGCTCTGTTTGGCATCTCTGGTTCCTATTAGTGTCCATTCTCCCCAATTTCCCATAGCATTATAGAATAGAATAGAATAGAATAGAATTATTTATTGGCCATGTGTGATTGGACACACAAAGAATTTGTCTTTGGTGCAAATGCTCTCAGTGTACATAAAAGGAAAGATACATTCGTCAAGAGTCAAGAATCATAAAGTACAACATTTAATGATAGTCATGGGGTACAATAAGCAATCAAATCATACTAGGAAACAGTATAAATTGTAAGGATACAAGCCACAAAGTTACAGTCATACAGTCACAAGTGGGAGGGGATGGGTAATAAGGAGTGATGAGAAGATTAATAGTAATAGTTGTGTAGACTTTGTAAATAGTTGCATAGTGTTGAGGGAATTATTTGTTTAGCAGAGTGAAAAACTGTCCTTGTGTTTAGTTGTTCTGGTGTGCAGTGCTCTATAGCGTTGTTTTGAGGGTTGGAGTTAAAACAGTTTATGTCCGGAACATGAGGGGTCTGTAGATATTTTCAGAGCCCTCTTTTTGACTTGTGCAGTATACAGGTCCTTGATTGAAGACAGGTTGTTAGCCATTGTTTTTTCTGCAATCCTAATTACTCTCTGGAGTCTGTGCCTGTCTTGTCAGGTTGCAGAGCCAAACCAGACAGTTATAGAGGTGCAGATGACAGACTCAGTCATTCCTCTGTAGAACTGGATCAGCAGCTCCTTGGGCAGTTTGAGCTTCCTGAGTTGGTGCAGAAAGAACATTCTTTGTTGTGCTTTTTTGATGACATTTTTGATGTTAGGTGTCCATTTTAGGTCTTGTGATATGACAGAACCTAGAAATTTGAAGGTCTCTATCATTGATACTGTAATCCTCATTTCCAGAGGGCAGGACCTGTATGCTTGGTTTTGTTTAACAAATAACTCATTCAAACGTTCTCTTATTTTCAGGCCATTTCGTTAACTTAAAAGGATCAAATTTGATTGAATGTGATTTCTGTCTTGTATTTCTTCCGCCTTCAGGACCCGCCTGCAGGTATGCAGGATATCCTTTTCTTCCTCTTTGGTCCCTAAAAGTTACTTCTGATTTCTAGAGGTGCAAAAGGCCTCTACGCCTTTGGCTTCCAGTTGTCATTCTCATTTCACTAAACTTCCTCCTCTCCTGTGGAGAGTTGCTTTTCTCAGCTTTGGGCCTTTTTGGTCCAGTGAATCTTTCATTTTCCTTCTGAGCTGAAATGAAGCCATTCGGTGTTCCAATCTTTGGACTTTTTCCCCCTCTAGCTAACACTAATTTGTACTTGCTGCAAATATTTGCACCAAGACAAATTCCGTGTGTGTCCAATCGCACTTGGTCAAATAAAGAATTCTATATAAGTCGAATTGTTTTCAGAAAGGAGAACAAACAGGCCGTAGACTTTGCAGTTCAGGACTTCTGAATTATGTCTGTTCCTCTTCTGTTTTTTAGGCAGCACTAGTGGAAAGACACACAGGGAAAATTTATTACAATCATTGAACTCACTGTCTTCACAAAGTTTGTTCCAACTTTGGGCCAGTGCACCTTACAAGGTTGTTGCTGTGGAGAAAATAGAAGGAGGGAGGTGAATTAGGTATGTTTGCCACCTTTAGTCATTTTAAAAAATAATAAAGGTGAAATACAAACAAATAAACAAAGAAAGAAATGTTGTATTAGCTGCCTCTGTACCGTATGTTTGCCCAGTGAATTCCCTCTCCAAAAGCTGGTTACCTTATATTCCTAGGCTGCAGGTGTTCTTACTCAAGAACAAGCAGGCATTCAATCACTCACTCACAGTCAGCAATTATCAACAACTCTCATGACACATTTCTTGTAACAGCAACTGTGAGCTCTCTCTTTTCCCACAATAGCTGAGCATGCAATTCCTCAAGATCCATGGCAGTCTAGACATTCTCTCCCTGTCCCTCCTTCCTTCTGATGAATTGTGTTGCAATTGTCCTCTGAGCTCCTCTCTTTGCTTAATCCGAAGACAAGAACACAGGAGTTGGGAGAGAGAACTGCACGTACTTTGTGAGGTCGTCCTAGAGATGGTCTGCTGTTTCCAGGTGAAGTCCTGCTCTCCACCACAGTTCAATCGGCAGCCATTGGTCACTGGCCTCTGCCTGGTGAAGGGCATCGTTGTGCCTTTCAGGCAGCCAGGTATCTTGCTGCTGCTGCTGCTGTCCATCTGCCTCTGTAAGAAGCCCATTGTGCCCGATTTCTCGGGAGAAGCTCTTCCGCTGCCAGCTTTTGATGTTTCATGCTCTCTCCTCTTTATGCTCCACAGGGACATCTTAAAACGTGGCGGCTCAGCCGTAGACGCTGCTATTGCAGCCTTGGTCTGCACGTCAGTCCTGAATCCACAGAGCATGGGCCTGGGTGGAGGCGTTATTTTCACCATCTATGATGCACCGACAGGTAGGTTCACCCAACCTTGAGGAGAAGTGGCCTCAGGTGGAACCATTAATGTAGCAGCATGTACCGCTCCTCAAAAAAGGATGGCCGGTCCCTTCCAGCCTTATGATTCTGTTCTGCGTTCTAAACTTTTGACTACTTTGAATCATGGTTTTCAAGACCCTAAGAAAATTAAGGAAGTGTAAGCTACCAAGGAACGCGGTGGCTCAGTGGCTAAGACGCTGTGCTTGTCGATCAGAAAGGTCGGCAGTTCGGCGGTTTGAATCCCTAGCGCCACGTAACAGAGTGAGCTCCCGTTCCTTGTCCCAGCTCCTGCCAACCTAGTAGTTCGAAAGCATGTAAAAAATGCAAGTAGAAAAATAGGGACCACTTGGGTGGGAAGGTCACAGCGTTCCGTGCGTCTTCAGTGTTCCGTGCACCTTCGGTGTTTAGTCATGCCGGCCATATGACCACGCAGACGTCTTCGGACAGCGCTGGCTCTTCAGCTTTGGAACGGAGATGAGCAGCGCCCCCTAGAGCTGGGAATATGACTAGCACGTATGTGCACGGGGAACCTTTCCCTTTTAAGCTACCAACAAACTAGGTGGATTGAACATGGGGTTTGTGAATGAAATAAGAGATTTGAGATTTGAACCTAGGTAAACTTTGTCAGGACAATGCTAGGTGTTATTCATCACCTCCATGGAAGCTGTGGGGAATTTTTCAATGTGTTCTTCTTTGGATTGCAGGAAAAATTGAGGTGCTCAATGCTCGTGAAAGGGCTCCCCGAAACATCACTGAAGGTTTGCTGAAACAGTGTAGAAACAAGTTGCTTCCAGGTAACTTTATGATTCAATAGTACAATGGTTTGTATCAGTGGGGCTGGGGAGAAAATGCGTGCCAGGGAGCTGTTCAAAGACCCTGTTCTTGGATCTCTTTGGGAGAATCAGCCTGGTAGACGTTATGTACACCTAGAGATTATCTCATTTCCATTGGAAGAAGCATGAAGCTACCTTGGGAAAAGAGCCTCCCAGAGATGGTTTCACCATAGAGGCAGCTTGTGTAAGATGGCATCAGCACATTGATTGGCCTCACTCCCCTCCCCAAGCCATTATAAGTGCCTTTAGTCCAGTGTGTGAATCCAGTTGAGTTTTGCAACCCATGATTAATGGCTTAGCTTTTGTGTGAATTGGACCACTGTGGCTTATTCAGCCATTTTTAATTCAAACAATGCATGGCTTATAGTGTTGCATTGTGCCACTTAGATGCCATAATACTGATAGAATTTCAGGTGTCAATCCATCAGAATAGAGCAGAAGGGAACCTTGGAGGTCTTTTAGTCCAACCCCATGATCAAACAGGAGGCCCTATACCATTTCAGACAAGTGACTGTCCAGTCTCTTTTTAAATAGCTCAAAGACTTAAAAAGTGGGGGAACTTAGCCTCTTCGATCCCAAAGAGGATTCCTTAAGCAGATACAAACATACAGTATTCATATCATCAGCCATTCTCTTCTGACTTATGGCCCTTAAAAACATCAGCCATACTTGCATCTGAAAGGGTTTTGCTAGGATGAGTGATTGAGTAGACGGGTGTCCCTCAACCTTACTGACTGGCTTGTTGGGGAATTCTGGATAACAAGAATCCACACATCTTATCAGGATTGTTAAACTTGAGAAACACTCGGATTTTTCTACTAATAATTTTGATACGTTTTTACAAGTCACAAGGGAACGAACCCAAGCAATCTAATAGCGAAATTAGGGCGATCATTGGAGAAGAGTCTGCCTTATCCATAATTCTGCCTTTCTTCGGTAGGGTCTCAATGGATTGCTGTTCCTGGAGAACTTCGTGGCTATGAAGAAGCTCACCGGCGCTATGGTAGATTGTCGTGGAAGGATCTTTTTGAACCCACCATCGAGATGCTTGGCCTTGGGATCAGGGTATCCGACGTTTTGAGCCAGTTCCTGAAAATCTTAGCGTCGCATTTGACTAATTCATCCTCATGGTGAGATCAAACTTTTAAACAAGGGATTGGCCAATAAGAGGCCAGTATCCTGCTTGGATCCTTTACAGCAGTGATCCCCAACCTTTTTGACGCCGCGGCCCAGTACCGGCATCAGCTGGGCACCGCCATCTTTTTTTGATGAAAACGTGCTTCCGGTGAGCTTTCTACCCGGAAAAGCTCACCGGAAGCACTTTTTCATGAAAAAAAGATGGCGGCGCCCAGCAAGCCGCGGCCCGGTAGGAGTTGTTCCGCGGACCGGTACCGGTGGTTGGGGACCCCTGCTTTACAGCAATTTTGAACATAGCCAGGCTAAGGACGTTTCCTACAATCCTTTTGCCACTGTTCTTCACCACAAAATAATGGTGCAAAATGCTTGTTACTTGGGAGAAGGTTCTTTGAAATATGAATATCTATAAAGTTCTGTAGTATGAATCTTCATATTCGGCTTTCAATGAGCCTCAGTTTCAAGTCCTTTTCATACCTCTCCTTACCAATCCATCTTATACGCGTGCATTGATTTCTGTTTTCTGAGTGAAGAGCTGAGTCTCTTATTTTCAGCCAACTTCTTTAATCCTTGACCGTTTTTAAATGCTGTTCCTGTCTTCTAAGCACTCTCAATCTCACCTAATACTGTATGATCTGCAAATTTGATACCCGTCCCCTCCCCTTTCGTATTTTAAATCTTGCGGTACCCCTTAGGCGCTTTTTCAAAAGGCAATTGGACTTTCCATTTTTTTTCCTTTGAAGACGTTTCACTTCTCATCCAAGAAGCTTCTTCAGCTCTATGTTACCCCTTAGTACAACCCTCCAGTTTGATTAGGATACTATGGATATCTGAGTGTAATAATCAAGTCAACAGTTGACCACATTTAACTATGTTGCTAATTAAAATGTGGGATACACTGCCAACCGCTTTGCCCAAATAAGGTATATTGTGATGACATTCCTGTTATTCCCCTTTGATTTATATAGCTGTCCACCTCACACAAGTGACTCTGGGGTGGCTTTAAAACACAGCATTAAGACCCACAAACCCACCGCATGTAGCCCCTCCCCTGCCTCCCAAAGATAAGCCAGGACCCCCCTCAGCGGTTGGCAGTGTATCCTACATTTTAATTAGCAACATAGTTAAACGTGGTCAACTGTTGACTTGATTATTACACTCAGATATCCATAGTATCCTAATCAAACCGGAGGAGCTTCTTGGATGAGAAGTGAAACGTCTTCAAAGGAAAAAAAAAAGGAAAGTCCAGTTGCCTTTTGAAAAAGCCACCTGACCTAAATAGTTGGGGGGAGGGGGGGAAATGGGGCAGCCAGATCCTGCAAACACACGGTCCATAAAGTTACACAGGAAGGCAACTGGATAAAGCTTGCCGTTCACAAATCTCTGCTGACATTGAGGTAGCATCACTTTGTTTCCAGGTTGTGCTCATTCTGATCACCTCTAGTGGCTCCCAGACCTCCATTGTTTTGACTGGGATGTCCTCTCCCTCCCCTTTGAAAAGGGACCTCGGCCTCCCCAGGAAGGATAAGGAGAAGCCAAGAAAGGGGAATAGTTTGCCTCGTCTTTCTTATCTCTCTCTCTCCCCCCTGCTGTCCCCCAGCTATCACCGTTTGCCTGTCGGTCTGGCCTAGCAGCACCTCTCCTTGCCTAGTTGTAGGGGGTGGGTGGGGGCGAAGAGATTTAGCCCTTCCCTTCCCTTTCAGTGGTGCGTGTGTGTGCGTGTGTGCTTCTACTTGGCGTGTGAGGGGGTGGGAGTGGGGGCGAGCGGCCACCCCAGCCCCACTTTCAGGGAAGGGTCAGTGGGGGGAAGCTGCCCTCCCACCCTTTGGCCATGGGGAGTTTCGGCCACTCCCGTCTGCACGACCTTTAACCCCACGCAAATGAAGAAGAGCCACCCCTCAAGGGAATCCGCCCTCAGCCAGAATGATCCCCAGGAGAAATGAAGTACAGGTAGTCCTCGACTTATGACCGCAGTTAAGCCCAAAATTTCCACCACTAAGCGAGACAGCGGGTCAGTGAGTTTTTGCCCCATTTTACAACCTGTCTTGCCACAATTGTTAAGGGAATCATTGCAGTTGTGAAGTTAGTAACAAGGTTGTTGAGTGAACCTGGCTTCCCCGTTGACTTGGCTTGCCGGAAGGGGCACCATGTGTCCCAGGGACCCTGCGACCGTCATAAGTAGGAGCCCATTGCCAAGTGCCTCCATTTTGATCAGGTGACCCTGAGGATGCTGTAAGCGTGAAAACTGCTCGGAGGTCCCTTTTCTCACTGCTGTTGTAGCTTGGAACGACCACTAAATGAACTGTTGTAAGTCGAGGACTGCCTGTATTTGAAAGGGAAGCCCCACCTGCCCACAGAGCAGAGACTCACCTCTGTTCTTGGGAGTCAACCAGAGCCAGCTGTGTGCGCAGGCTGAATCGGGGCTTCCGAAGCGAGGCGTGGAGAACAGTAACCGCTGACCGGCATCCTCTCCTTGGCCTCTCTTTCAGCCGGCTGTTTTGTAACGACCGAGGAGCTGTCCTGAGCAGCGGAGAGGCTTTACGTTGGGCAGCCCTAGAGAAGACCCTGAAAGCCGTGGCAGAAAACGGGGCCGCTGAATTCTACTCTGGGAGGACGGCGGAAAAGTTAGTGCAAGACGTCAGAGCGGAAGGTAGGGCTGCGTGGCACGGCTCCCCCAAGCCGGTTCCTCCTCAGGGCCCTGCCAGGCCCCCAGGGAATAATCTGCAGAATCTGTTGAACAGATTCAGATGAGTGTGACATTGCAGCACCTGTTCAAGATGCAAATCAGGGCTGCCTGGAGGCTTCCGCAAGAGGAATAGTGCAGGGGTGTCAAACTGGATTTCTTCGAGATCAACTGGATCAGCCTTGTAGTTGTCCTCTGTGGGCCGATGGGAGGTGGGGGAGACGGGACGGACATCTCCTGCAGTACCCTGCCGCCTGAGATTTGAGAGATGTAGCCGCTGTTCTGACCCAGGCTTCATCAAACGTAATAAGACACAAACTGCTTTTAAAAGTAAAACCTATTTTAATGGGACGCTGGGAGTTACTTGCATTCCCAGCCAAAACTCATTAGGCACACTTCCTCCAGAGAAGAGCATGCTTCTCAGTGCTGTAGAACAAACAGAAGTCCAATTAAGGCTTAACATAAAGCAACCCAAAAACCTAGGAAAAAAAAAAACGACCAGAGTACAGAGCTTCACGAAGGACTTGGAGATTACTGAACTGCTTTGCTTCCTGCAAAGCTCTTCGTCATCGAGGACTGACTTTTATCCCTTATGGGAGGGGCAATCACCTCCCAGCCTTACTCCCGAGTTGCCCCTGCTGCTTCAGCTGCTCTCGCCTTCTAGCAGCCCTGCGCACACGCGCACTGGGAACAGGATCCCCTGGGTCCTCTGCCTCGCAGCTGCCAGACTCCGAAAGCTTTGGAGTCAGCACCCCACTCCCGGATGGCCCTGGCCCCATCTCTGCACTGGATGCAGGACCTTCGTCTGAGTCCTCTCCAGATTCTCTGACTGGTCCCCGTTCTTTCCCACTGTCCAATACCTCTGATGTCCACACCGGCTGCTGGCAAACCACCACAGCCTCTCAGTTCCCATGAAATGGGGCAGTGCCAGACCATTGGCCAAGAAAGGGTGAGCCTGTGGTGAGACGGGACTGCAGCTCGACCTGTCTGACCTCAGTTGTGCCCTTCATGTCCCCTTTAAAGGGGAGGTGGGGAAGAGAGAGAGAGAGAAAGTCAAGTTCATTTCGTGTGGGGGTTTTGTGCTACCTCCAAAGCAGGCTAAGCCCACGTCCAAAACCAACCAACAGCAGCCAAAAGGCATCAGGAGGTTTGTTCTTCTTTTCACTCCACCCCCCGCCTCCCTTTGGGACCCCCTGGGCTACCCGCCTTGGTTAGCAGCTGTTCCGACTGTTCCAAGACCTGGTCCACAGAGGAGAAAGTCTCTGTGAAAAGACCCCAGGATTCCCAATGTCGAAGCAGAGTCAAACTAGAGCTGAAGAGATGCTGACCCAGCCTGGAACAGGTCTAAGACAACCCATCATGGCCAACTCACTGCAGGACAATTCAACACTGTCTCAACCATTTCATTCAGTTGTTTTTATTATTGGCGACCACATTTTTGTTGAAATATTTGTAACTCTTGTGTTTCTGGATTGACTTTATTATTATTGGCCATGGTTCTGTTGAAATTAATTCAACTTTTGTATTTGTTGAATGGTCCACTAGTGAGTTGTCCCATTCTGGCTTGGAACAGCCCAGAGGAGCCAGGCTCAGTCCAACCTGTGGGGATCTCTGCACCCCCCCTGCTCAGGTGGTCAGGGAAGCCAATGAGGTCATAGCCATTGCAAAATGGAGGTTGGGGGAAGGGAGAAGGCAGTACTTTCTCACCGGCACAGCGAAGGATGGTGTAAAGTTGACTGAGACTTGGGGCTGCCGGTAAGAAAAAGACAAAATCATGATACATTTGTGTTTGTCCCATACTTTGGTTCAAGTGGGGAAGGGCCCTATAATGGCTAAGCTAGCCACTGGTCTTCCCAACAGCCTCACTTTTCCAAAATGGCTCTCGCATGCAGTTGCCCAGGAGTCCACTTCAATTACGGATGCGTAATCCAAGTTCTTCTATCCCGAAATAGGGGCAGAGAAGCGTGAGCTGCTGACCGTTTGGTAGGGGGCGTGCATAAGTGCACCAATCGTGCCTACCGTCCCTGTCCTATTGGGTTTTTTTTATTTTTCTTATAAGTATCTATCTCATGTATTCAAAACTATATTTATTCTTATACCTGTATCTTGTAAGCGATTGACAAATCAAATAAATACTAAAAATGCTAAGGGCCATCTGTTGGTCACTATGGCAACTCTTAGGCTGAAGTCTGCTCCTGGTCTGAGAGGGAGACCACCATGCGCTTTCTGTCTGGAAAGTATCACCTCCTAGGAGGATTAAAAGATTCACTCTTTTTTCTTTCCATTGTTTAGGTGGCACCTTGACCTTGGAGGACCTCAAGAATTATCACATTGAACTGATGAAACCTGTGAATATGTCGCTGGACAAGTACACCATATTCTCAGCCCCAAGGCCAGCAGCCGGATCAGTCCTCTTCTTCGTTCTCAATGTCCTAAAAGGTACATGAGGAAAGGGTGGCTCTTGAACCCCGGGGGCCTCTTGGTTAACCTTGGGGAAGATTCTTGGGGAAGAACCACAGCCGGCTTCTGGAGGGTGAGGTGATTCCAGATTAGGAAAGGCTCTTCCTGGAGAGCTAGCTTGGAAAGCCTTGGTAAGGCCACACCTAGAGTCCTGCATCCAGTTTTGGTCACCCACTGTAAAAAAAGAGGTTGAGACTCTAGAAAGAGTGCAGAGAAGAGCAACCAGGATGATGAGGGGACTGGAGGCTAAAACATACAAAGAACGGTTTCAGGAACTGGGCCTGGCTAGTCTCGGGAAGAGAAGGACCAGGGGAGACATATTTGAGGGGCTGACACAGAGAGGAGGGGGTCAACTTGTTTTTAACCTAGATCCAACCAAGAAATAAGGAGAATTTTTCTGAGAATGAGAGCAATCAACCCATGGAACAGAAGTTGCCCTCAGAACTTGTGGAAGCTTCATCACTGGAAGCTTTTAAGAAGAGACTGGAGTGCCATCGGTCAGGAATGGTCTCCTGCTTGGCTGTGGGGGCAGGATTAGATGACCTACAAGGTCGCTTCCACCTCTGTTATTTTATTCTATTCTAAATTCACCATCAATGACCAGTCCTTAGCTGTTTGGAGGGGGGAGGGGGCTAGCAGTAAAATAACATGGTCCATTGCCCAAGTCAAGCACCTGCAAGAGGGTTTGGACCTTCCCAGAGAGGGCTGCCCTTCCGCACCTAGAACAGGGTTTCTCCATCTTTAAGACATGTGGACCCAACTCCCCGGCCAGGGAATTCTGGGAGTTGAAGTCCACACCCCTTAAAGATGCCAGGGTGGAGAAACCCTGTCCTTTTGGGACCTTGGTCAAGGCTTGGCTTCCTCACCAAGGAACCCAGAATTCTACCCGCCCAGAGCTGAGCAGGATGGGATCCGCATCTGGGTTGTTACTAGCATTAATAGGAACTCAGGGAAATTGCCGTGCGAGCATGGGGCATTTACTCAAGACCGAAGAATCTCACAGAAGCTTTTTTCCCAAAGTAGAATGGCTACTCGTGGCATAAAGCAGATGGTTCTGGAGGAAGCCCAGTATGATGCTGCCTGCCGGATTCAAATTAATGTGACATTGCAGCCTCTATTCAAGATCCAAATGAGGCTTCAGCAAGAGAAGAGGGAAGAGGGTAGGGGTGTCAAATTGGATTTCTTCAAGGGCTGCATCAGCATAGGAGTTGTCCTCCGTGGGCCGATGGGGAGGGGGAAACGGGACGGACGCCTCCTGCAGCACTTTGCCAGCCAAAACAGGGCGTGGGGCAGCCACTTGCGACCCCCCCCCTTGCCCCGTTTTCAGCCTAGATGGCCTCCTGCAGCACTTTGCTGGCCAATACAGGGCAAGGGGGGTGCATGCATTTTCGGCCTCTGTAGCCTCCTGCAGCACTCTCCTGGCCAAGAACGGGCTGTGCAGAGGGCCCGTGAGGCCTCTGCATGGCCCATATTTGGCTGGCAGAGTCCGACTGTGCTCCAGAGAGGCCAAAAATGGGCCACCACACAGCCTGTTTTTGGCTGGCAGAGTGCTGCTGGAAGCTGGGGAGGCTGAAAACGGGGCACAGAGAGGCTTCAGGAGAGGGATCACGGGCAGGCCCTTTGATATTTGCAGGCCAGCCCCGTGGGCCAGATTTAAGCACCCCCGTGGGCCTTGAGTTTGACACCCCTGGAATAGTGGGATTGAGGTTTTGCTCTGTTTACAGAATCTGGCTACGTGCTCTTCCTCTCCAGTGACTGTCATTACAACTATTCTGTGATGTTGAAAAATACTCTTTGCCCTGATGGCTTCCAGAATATTAATATAAAGTGTATAATTGACCTTTTTCTGCTTTCTGTTTTTCTTAGATAGAATAAGCTTTTATCGAAGCTTTCCCACATTACTTTAGTTTTAACTGGGCAAGTTATTCTTGAGCTGAGCACCAGTTCCACTATAATTATTACAGAGCTATTTGGTTGATAAATATGAAAACTATTTCAGCAGCTGCTTTGGTTGGTTGATTACATTGCAGTATATTATTATGCAATAATGGATTATTGATCCATTATTGTTTCTGATACTGTATTTTAATGGTGTTCTTGTTTCGTCAAATTAGAAAGCATATGTTATAATTTCTTGGCATGCTTGGATAGAGTGCCTTGATATTTTAAAATGGGTTTTGACTCAAACATCCCCAAAATTTTCATATTGTGGTTTGATATGATTTATTAAATCCTTAAGTAATGAGTTAGTGTCATACAAGGATGGCTGGGTTTGTTTTTTTTAATAATTTGGCTTTAAATCTTTGACCTGTATCAACAGAAATTCTGAAATGATACAGCTGGCCTACATGATTTTAACTTGAGTTTGTTTGTCTGGGCTAAGAATTTCCAGGAATTCTTCTCAAACAGGACAGGGAAGGGAAGATAAATGTAACCAGGAGGGATTTAATTCCAGAGTTAATTGATTTCATGCAAGGCCTTCCTGTAAAGAGTGTGACATTATTTTAAACTAATTTCCAAGAAATCAGATTCATTTCCTTGGTAGGAACATCTCACAAGATTTTACCTTTTTAAGAAAGGGAATTTACCCATCTCCTGTCCTCAGGGGTGGGATTCTAATATTTTTGCCACCGGTTCAGTGGGTGTGGCTTGGTGGGCGCGCTTTGTGCGCATGCACACATTTCGCATGTGCACGCGTCCAACGTGCACTTTGCGCAGGCGCAGAGGCATTCCAACTCGCCTCCTGCAAGCCTGCACTCTCCCTGATGCTTCAGCAGCGGCTGCGCAGCAATTACTGTGCCGTGCAAAGCAGCTGCGCTTCAAAAGCAGGCCATGAAGGTGAGTAGGGGAGCCAGCCAGGCGGGCGGGTGGGCCCAACAGCAGAGCAGTGAAGAGAACCGGTTCAGTCTCTGCTGCTCATCAGCGCTACCGGCTTGGCAGAACCGGGCCGAACCGGTAGAATACCACCCCTGCCTGTTCTTCAGCTGGGCTTCATCCGAGGTTGGTCAGTTGAACAGGGAAATTCAGCCTTTAGGTCTTTAGGCTAATCTTGAGAACTATTATCTGGCAATACTGGCAGAAATTGGAATCCCTCCTGCGAAGGGGATTTGCAAGAGTCCAGGCTTCTTGCAGGCAGATGCCTGGGGACCTTCCCCATTAAAACTTTGTGGGATAATAATTCAACTTAAAAACAAGATCTAAATATTGAGTGAAGTGAGACTTTAATAACATTATTTTGTAACCATTTGGTTCAGAGGCAGCTGTCTTTAAAACTTTGGTAGAGATAAAAGATAAGCTTGACCTAACTCAATGTTTTATTCAATGTAAACATTTCCTTTTTTTTTTTTTGGCCAACGGCATGCTGGAACGAGGAACGGCATTTTCCAGCTGTTCGTTTCTGCAGAAATAGAAAAACTGACTCTTGGGACAGAGGCCCAAATGAATTGCCCTGACGAAAAGCTGGCTCAGATATTTATACAAAAAGCTTATTATTTATATAACCTGTCAATCTATGAGACTTTTTTTTTTCCACAAGGCCTGTGCTCACATTTGGTTGATTGCATTTGTCATTTCTGCTCCAAGATGAGTACAATTTAGTACGGTCATATTTAGTACAAGATTACTCACAATGGGTCCTTGTGAAACCTTCCTAATCCTATCTCTTTATCAGGACTTTCCTGCTGCCTGTCTCTGGATTGTGTGTCAGTTTCTCAGCCAGCAAAGTGAAGCTTAGATAGCCCGATACTTAATTTCATCAGGTCTAACTGCTGGAGGCTCATTTCTACAGAGTTTAATTCATTCTTGCCTGTTTAAAAGCAGAGGTGGGCTGATGCCAGTTCACACCGGTTGTAGCGAACCGGTAGTTAAGATTAAGTGCAGTTTGGTGAACTGGCAAATTCCACCACTGGCTGGCCCCGCCACCACCTGTTTTTCAGCCTGTTTTGGGGCCTTTGGGGGCCATTTTCTGGGCTGTTTTTGGCATGAAAAATGGCCCAGAAAACACCCCCCAAACTCCCTAGTTGTCTGGGTTCATTTTCAGACTATTTTTTGGCTATTTTCAGGATGTTTTTTGGGCTGTTTTCAGCCCAAACTCAGTCCAAAAACAGGCTGGAAAAAGGGGGGGGCACCCAGTGGTGGGATTAGCCCCAACTGGGTGAATCCTCCCTCTTCCTTTTAGGTGAATGGCCAGGAGGCGGGGCTGGGTGTGATGAGTGATGTCACCCACTGTCACATGACCAACCGGCCACGCCTACCCAGCCAGAGAACCGGTTAAAAAAACGGGCCGCCCCCCCCCCCCCCCCACTGTTTCAAGGCATTAGTTGAAACCTTTTCTTGTGAAAGGGATTCCTTTCCTAGGGAAGTTATGCTAATGGAGAAGAAAACCCGCAGGCAGCTGGAATTTGTTTTCCAGATCCTAGCTTATTCAGACAATTCCTGCATTCTTTAGAGCAGGGGTCTCCAACCTTGGCAACTTTGATAGCTTTGGACAACTTCATTTGCCTCCATCAAGGAAAGTGGAACTGATGGAATTTATATTAGTTATTACGTGGTTTCTCAAACAACAAGCCTGAAACACAGTTTAACGATGTGAAATCAATTGGCTGTGAACTGCAGGGAATATGATAGAAACCACACAAGGATCTAAGGGATATTTAATAATTGGTTGCAATTATCTTTCTTTTGGAGATTGGAATATTAACTCTTTGGGTTTATTCTTGTCATATTACCTCATCCAGGCCTCTCATCAGTGGGGCTATTAATGTGACGGGCTCAATTGTTGTGTCGTAAGAATGCAAATGTTCTCCCTGTTGCATCCATGGTGTTTGGAGTAAGGATGCCAAGAGCTGACATGTGGAAAAAACATTGTTCTGTCTACGGAATTTTGTTATTTATCTGAGCATAGCAAAAGTACAGGCAGTGCTCAACTTAGAACCATTTGTTTAATGATTGTTTGAAGTTATGACAGTGCTGTAAAATGCGACTTATCACTGGTACATGTGCTCACGACCATTGCCCCATGGTCACATGATCAGAATTTGGCTCTGTGGCAACCGGCATATAATTACAATAGTTGCAATGTCCCAGGTTACCACTTACGACCTTCCCAGGAGCTATTCAACAAGAAAAGTCAATGGTGGAAGCAAGATTCACTTATCAAATATGTCATTCACTTAGCGACCATAGCAAAAAGATCATAAAATCAGTCACAACTTACTTAATGACCATATCAGTTAGTGATTTGTGGGAGCGCCATCACTTGAGACTTTCAAGAAGAGATTGGACTGTCATAAATGGTGTAGGGTCTCCCGCTTGGGGGGTTGGACTAGATGACCTACAAGGTCCCTTCCAACTCTGATTATCTGTTATCTGATAGAAGTTCTGGTCCCAATTCTGGTCGTATCAATAGCCACAGCCCTTAGACTTATACACCGCTTCACAGTGCTTTCCAGCCCTCTCTAAGCAGTTTACAGAGTCAGCCTTTTGCCCCCAGCAATCAGGACCCTCATTTGACCCACCTCAGAAGGAGGAAAGGCAGAGTCCACCTTGAGCCAGTCAGCCAGTCCTGGCAGTGGAATGCAAAATTAGCCTGCAAAACGGCATTCTGAGCACTGCGCCGCCACCAGCTTGTAAGTCGAGGACAACCTGTAAACATTTTTAAAAGCCTGTTGATGAGTGGGGACCTCCCCAACTCTCCTTGTCTTTCAGGGTTCAATTTCACCAAAGTGGATCTGGAAGAACCAAACAGAAGAGCAAGGGCCTATCACTACATCGCAGAGACCTTGAAGTTTGCCAATGGCCAAAGAGCAAAATTAGATGACCCGAAATTTTCTGAAATAAAAGAGGTGGGCCTTTCCTGTGACTGCCTTCAGATTTTGGAATTACACTGGGGTCAGCACTTCAGTGCTTGGACTGATCATCCTGCCCACTTGCCTATGCCTAGTAGATGCGTGTCAAAACCTGGTACTTTGCTCCTAGGACCTTAAATCTTAGATGACAAGGACAACGTTCTTATTGGTTTTTTAAACTTCCAGATGAGTGGAAGTTAATATCCATTTTATTCTTCACATATTTACCGTTATAGCCTGTATTTCAAACCCTTCTTTGCAAGGTAGGTCTTAATTGTCCCCTCAGCGTTATAAAAATGAGCTGGGTATTCTTCTGCAACTTCGCTCCCCCAATTATTCTGAAGGGAGCAAATGACCCAGAAAACTCTCCGATGCTGTTCGCAGCACAGAAAAAGACGTGCCAACGGTTAGACAGCATCATGAAAACCAGCACTTAAAGGCTGATTTTCGGTCCTCACCACGGTTTGCATGTGATGTGAAAAGAGAGTCTTGCATTTCTAATCAATATGCAAAAAAACTGATTTTTGCAACAGCTCAGAGAAGTCAAATAAAGATAAAAAGTTCAAAGGTACAATCAGAATAAGGAAAATAGGAAAGTTTTTCTTGATTTCATATCGGATGAAGATGCTGGCAGGATAAGAGGCCAGCGATTTAATTTGCAGTGGCTGTGGCCTGAGGCATTGGCACACAGTGTGCGCACTGATGCAGGAAAGGGAGTTTTCCCGCGTGGCCCCACTCCTCCTTCCCCTGGGCACACAGCACCATAAAAGGTGCTGCGTCTTTCTCTGCGGTGGGCTGGGTGCTCCGTGGCTGGGAAAGAAAACTCTTGAGTCCAGCACCTTTGGCTTCCCATCCGTGTTCTGTTCACGGCCCTCCTGCCTCGCGGGCCTTTTGGAAGGTAGTCTCAGGGCCACCCATGGCAGGTCTCCTTCCTGACTGGACCGCCCACCCTTTCAGGAAGTTCTCCAGGAGATGATGTCGGATGCCTTTGCTGACCACATCAGGCAGTTGATCGACGGCCGGGGAGACCACCCAACCAGCCACTATGACCCAGCCCAGCTGAAAACGGCCCCTTTCGGCACCTCCCACGTGGCTGTTTTGGCAGAAGACGGGAGTGCTGTGTCAGCCACCAGCACCATCAACCACCCGTAAGTGGGGGCAGCTGTGGACCTGTGATGCTGAAGGCAGCCTTGACCATTTGGCCCTCCGTGTCCAGGAGGTCTCACCCTCGGTTTTGTTGCTACCCGCCCCCCACCTCCTCCCAGCTAGGGTCTCTGCAGAAGCATCCATGGTCACTCCATGAAAGCCACTACCCAGATGCAGTGTCCACCCACAATTCCCTGTGTGAAGCTGACCCAACTGGGCTTGTGCTTCTCACATCGGTTGCAGGCACAATCCTGCTTCTCCTTGGTTAACTGAAGGTCCCACAAGCAAAGCTCGTAAAACGTTGGGGAGGTTGCTTGCCCCCTTCCCTGGACTGAGTCAGTGTCCCTCCAGAGCCCACCCACCCCAAGAGCTTCTGAGCTGGCCCCTCTAAGGAGGGCCTGCCTTCCTAGCAGACGTGGTGCCAAGAATACCCAGTCTGAGGGTCGGGGGCTGTGGCTGAGGCTGGGTTCTCTCAGGACACGTGATATGGAGTTTCCAAGACAGAATGAATAGCACCAGCCGTGGTCCTTAGGCTGACCTACCCGTCACAGTCCTTTACAGCCCTCTCTAGGCGCTTTATAGCGTCGGTGTCAGGGTTCCAGAAAAACCCAACTCCAACTCCCAGACAGGCCTTTTCTCAAAGTTTCCTTTTATTAGAGTAGATATACTGGCACATCCGGGAAAACCTGAATCTTGAGAGTTCTGGGTTTTCCCCTTAGTAATTCAAAAGTCAAAACCCAACCCCTGCACCCATCGGTCCATCACATGGACCAATCGCCAACCGTCGCAACGGTTGAGACATCCCTCCTCCAGGTGCAGGAATAACATGACCTTGACCGAAAAGAAGAATGCTGTTACGTCTAACTACCAACCCTCTAAAAATGCCCCCCCCTCCTACTTTCCCAGGCACAGGAATGTGGCAGCATGGAAGCTTCTGGTACTACTAATATGGCTTCCCAAGCTGATAGTCGGCCTCTTGCCCCCAACCATCTGGGTCCTCATTTTACTGACCTCGGAAGGATGGAAGTCAACCTTGAGCTGATCAGGATCAAACTGCTGGCAGTCGGCAGAATGAGCCTGCCAGACTGCATTCTAACCACTGTGCCACCATGGCTCTTAAATAGTTTTAACGGAAATAGTTTGGGGCAGGAGAAATCTATCGGAAAAGGTTGTCTTCCCCTGTTCCGTTCAGCAGAGAGGGGCCGGGAGGACGTCTCCCTACTAGTCTCCTGCGGCTGCTTTCCTCGTCATGAGGTCTAGGGCCTCTTTTATAGGCTAGCCAAAGCAGCATCCCCATCAGATGTCCAGAGGAGGCCTCTGGGGCTTATGATCCTGGCAGGGCCTGTGCATCTCTCTCCCAGGAGGTAGATAAGATACTAGCAGGGGCCCCTGGAGCCCCATTCAGAGAGGCTGCCTGAGGCCACTTAGCCGTATTCACAGCAGCCTCTTGGTCAATGCAATGTTCCTGACCCTGTTCTCTGCGCTTAGGTTTGGCTCAATGGTCTATTCGCAGCAAACTGGAATCATCTTAAACAATGAGCTGGCTGATTTTTGCATGAAGCACTCTAGCGAAAGCATTTCTCCAGGTAAGGACCACTCCCCACCCCCCACCCCCCACCCACAAAGAGTCACCCTGAGCTCACTGGGTCTTCCTCAGGAGCTGGAATGGCTGAGCATGGTGCTCCCTAACGCATGGGTTTTTGGGGGTTTCCTAAGAGATGGATCCTGTAGGCAGCTATTACTTTGGAGTCCTTGGCGGTCTCTGAGCTTGTTTGATTTATTGCAGACATTTCATTACCTGATGGCGATGTGACTCTCAGTTTGGTAATAAAACGTTTGCAAGAAAACAACCAAGTTCAACCTGGCGCTATAAAGCTTCTCTTCTCTCAGCTAACACTTTCTCCTGTTGTTCCCCCCCCCCCAGGAGAGATGCCTCCCTCCTCCATGGCACCGTCCATTCTTCTTTCCAAAGATGGGAAGTCCAAGCTGATAATAGGGGGCTCAGGTGGGCGCCTCATTATCGCTGCTGTAGCCCAGGTAAGCCATGAAAGCCCTTGTACAAGACCCGCCCTTGAGGATGGCCCAGGACTTCCATTAACCCTGCAGGGTCCAGCTCAAAGTCTTGTTCTGCAGCCTCTTCTTCCATTCCTCTGATTTTCCTGGAAGAGGCTCTTCATCTCCTGCGGCCAGGGGAAACCCTTTCGCACGAAGAGTCAAGTTGCAGTCAAGTTTCTACGCCATCAAATCCCTTTCAGCCGCAGGGAAATGCAAACTGCTGGGGGAGAAAGGGGCGAGAAGCATTTGACCTTCCGTGGCTGGATAGACATGACATGTCAAGCAAAGAGAGAGCTTGGGGCCAATAAGACTTATCTTGATATAATGTAAATTAATTGCCTCCCCTGAATTGCTCCCCACGACTGTTCCTCAGCTTCCATGAGGATGCTCTGGCCAGACGTCTCTTTCGTGGGTTTATCAAAGGACTCTGTGTTTGCAGGCCCTCGTCAATAAATTATGGTTTGGATACGATCTGGATCAAGCCATTGGAGCGCCCATCCTCGCCGCTTCTGGAGATGGCTCCATTCAAGTGGAGAAGCAATTTCCGCAGGTGAGACGCTGGCCTGGTTCTTCTCTCTCTCTCCGTCTTCCCCCTCCCTCCCTTAAGCTGGTGGTGGGGTTCTTGTGTCCCACAAGGCTGGGTGAAAACAGTCCTCTTTGGAGAGGAGAACCGCCTCCATTACTTGCCGGCCTTGGTCAGATTCTTATTCCATGAAGGCCTTATATGGCATTCTTCGCCCCCTCCATCTCATTGTGGGAGGCATTTTTTTTGAGGAGGGAGGGGAGACGCTCATGGAATTTACCTACTTTGCCAGTTTCCAATAAACCAAAGAAATAGAACCTTCTCTTCTGCCTCCCCCCGTCCCTCAGCTGGCATCCCTCTTTGTCCTCTCCTGGGTTAAAAAGAGAAACGGAAGGTCGGTCACTTGCTTTAGGGAAGGTGGGGGGAAAATGGGGGGAGACAACTGGGGCAGAGAGAAGAGGGGCTCCAGCTGGATACTTGAACGAAGAGGTTTTCAGAATAGATCCCTTCTGTAGTCCTTGGATGGAAAAGTCCCCAATATCCTCACAAATGTTGAGGCACTTTGGACAACTCTGCACAGCCTCTTCCTGCCCAGCTGATCTTCCCAAACTCAGACTTTAGACGGTCCAAGTCCTGATTCCGGGATTCACCACGGTGGGTTTGACAGTCACCCAGTCGCTGAAGACCCCTGAATTCACCCCTTTGTGGTGGGCAGCCTGTTCCTCTGGCTTACAGCTTGTGCCGTCAGGAAGCTCCTCCTACGCCTGACCTGAGCCTGCTAGTTTTAGTCCCTCGCTCTGGTCCTGCCCTGTGGGAAGGAGAGAGGAGGAGGCCCGTGGAGCGTGGATTAGAGCAGCCCGTTCTGCATCTGCCTGGGACCCAGCCTTCTCCTGCAGGGCCTTTATTTTTATTTTGTTTATTTTATTTATTTATTTTTGTCAATTGCTTACGAGATAATAGGTATAAGTAAAAACATAGTTATGAAGACATGGATACATATAAGAAAAATAAAAGAAACAATAGGACAGGGACAGTAGGCACGTTGGTGCTCTTATGCATGCCCTCTACAGACCTCTTAGGAAAGGGGTGAGGTCAATAGTAGACAGTCTAAGGTTAAAGTTTTTGGGGTTTGGGGAAGAAATCACAGAGCCAGGTAGAGTATTCCAGACATTGACCCCTCTGTTGCTGAAGTCGTATTTCCTGCAATCAAGTTTGGTGCCGTTAACCTTGAGTTTGTATCTATTGTTTGCTCTTGTGTTGTTATGGTTGAAGCTGAAGTATTCATTTACAGGTAGGACATTGCAATGTATGATTTTATATACCATACTTAGATCGGACCAAAGACGTCGTAGTTCTAGGTTTTCTAGGTCTAGAATTTCGAGTCTGGTGGCATAAGGTATTCTTACAACGAGTAGAGGAATGGAGAAGCCATCCGGGCTGCCTCTTCCCAGGCCCCCTTCCTAACAGGATGGCCCACCGAACTGTGTGGGAGGCCTTTGGAGGGGGCATGTGGGGTTTACCAGCACTTTTATTTTCCTCTGCAGAACCTCACGGCGGCTTTGATCACCATGGGCCACTCAGTGAACACCCCACCATATGTCATGAATGTGGTGCAGGGCATCTCCCAGGAGGGCTCCTGTATCTTCCCTTATTCTGATTTGAGGAAGCGAGGAGAAGCCTCGGGCTACTAGAAGCCGGGAGAAGCTCTGCGAAACTCTGCGGCAACCTGGTCTTCTTCTCTGGCGCTTCAGCCATCGGCCTCTGCAGAGGCTGCTGCAAGGAACTTTGGACGCATTCCTAGGCAAACCACACACACACACACACACACACAGAGCCCAAACTGAGTTCTCTCTCCATTGCTCCTCCGTCAGGCGTAACTTCTTGCTGCAACTGCAACTGCACTGGTGGGATTCCAACAGCCATTTTCAGCTAAAACTAAAAGCCCCGGTGAGTGAAACAGCTGAGGCACGGCCATCTGCCCTGCCCTGCCGATCAGCTGGCCTTTCAAAACCAGGAAATAAAGGATAGACTAGGGCAGGAGCGGGTGGGCAGGGCGAACTAATTGCCGTTCCGGACCAGCTGAATAATCCCACCCTGACTTTATGTCCACACACACACACACACACACACGAGACCTTCGTCCTGTGGAAAATGAGGACTTGAGCCACACACCTCTGTCTCTCGTGAGTCCCGAACCGGAGGAAAAGGTGTGTTGGGCTGAGCCTTGCTGGAGTAGCCTCTCCTCTGCGCTGAGATAATGCCCTCAGAGTGTCCGTGGCGGATGGAAGCCGAGGAAAAACGCAGCCTTTGGCATTTGGTAGGGAGCCAGGGTTCTCCTGGAAATCCCCTTCTACACCGCAGAGCGAGTTACCCGGAGAGAGCAGAGACGCTGCAGCCGGTGTGATGGAAACCCTTCAAGCTCAGGGCTCTGGAAGAAGCCTTTGAGCCTGGCAAGCCAATGAGCCTAAGGGAGGGTGAGGGCCTGCTGCCAAGCTGGAAAGCCCTGCGGAACCCAGGAGCCATTAACCTTTCATGCTGTTCCCTTTCGTTTCAAGCTGGGGCGGCTGGATGCCCTGAGCTTTGCCCTCCGACCCACCCGGGACACCTCAGAGCCAAAGCCGCCGGCAGGAGCTTTCCTTCTTCTTCTTCTGGCTGAAAGAGAAAGTTACGGACTGTTGTGTGTCCCCCCCCACCTGCTGATGGTTACCATGGGGGGTGGGGGGAGGGGAGGCAAGGAATGGGGGAATTCCACTAGGAATGGGATCATGCTGGATGATGAGCTTTTTCAAAATTTTATTTCTTCACGCGCGCATTTGTTTCTGTAGAAAGTTTAAATTTTATATTTTCACAAAATGGTTTGTGGGTCTGTTTCTTTTCAAATCTCATGGCTTTGCTTTTTCTTTTCAAAGCCTCCCAACACGTGTTGTTTTAGGTAGAGATTTGTTTCCGGAGGGTTTTCATTTTTCTCCCCACTTTCTTTGGTCGCAGCGCCCTGACAAGCCCATCCCAGCCACCCTCCCTTTCCAAAGGAGCCTCAGGGCCAGCAGTGCAACATGGGCAATTTTTCCTTCGGCCCCTTTGGGCAAGCGATCTGGTGCGTCTCAGTGGGACACCAAGCGGGGGCGGGGGGAGCAATGGGCAACTAACTCTCTGGGGCTCCAGCTCGTTGCCTTGGTTCCACATACATCTCAACCCACTCAGGTGCTGGGAGGCGCCTGGACTGCGCTCATTTTCTTTATTGGTTTTCTGGATTCTAAAATGGGTGCTGGGTTTCCAGAAAGTCCCGATTCTAGAAAACGGCCCATCCTGATGCCGAAGGATAAAGTTGAGACCATGAGAAACCCTGTAATCAAAAGAAACGGATGGTGCGTCTCCTGCAGAGCCACACAATTTCTGGTCTCTTCCACGTAACTGAAGAAACTTCCCTTGTTTTATTGACCAAGCCAAATTCCATGGATTTGGATTATCTTCAGCAAGCTTTCTTCTGAAGAAAATTCTGAATTAACCTCACCTCATTTTTGAGGAGGAGGAGGAGAATTAAATATGAGCTACATGATATGAAAAACACATCACAGTGTCAACTCTGCCATCCTTAGTAAAAGAACTTAGTAAAAGAACCTGTCACTTCTACCGAATGGAGTCGAGAGTCTTTCTTTCCGTGAGACCTAGCTGGGGCAAGACTGACACATCGTCTCATTCATCACACTGGAGAGAGGCATCGTTAAGTGACAGGTCACATTTTCCCAACTGGACCTCCCAGTTTATCCGATTAATGGTGAAGCAGTGGCAGGAAGAGTGATAGGACACACAAAAACTTTTTGAAAGAAACAAAGCTCCTAACTTAGAAAATGATCCATCGAATACCTAGCATAGGATGGGGAAATACCGAGTTGGCCACAGACTTGCCAAAAAGATGTTGAAGCTTGACCAGAACCTGAACAAGCCTGACTGGACTGCAAATAAAGGACATGCAGTTTTAGGCTGAATGAATAGTACAGTTTTCTCAATGACGGGAAGTAATCATTTGGTTGTGATATCTGGGCATGAGACTTGAGAAAGGAATGAAAATATTATAAAGAGCCTCGCTATATTTAGCTATTTTGAAGTCATTTTCTTTTTAACCCTGGCTCCATCTTGGTTGGCATCCCACCAACCCTTCGGCTTCTCCTGGGAGTGGGCGATGCCTTGCACTGGGAATAGCCTGGCTCTTTAGAGTGCAGCCCCCCGCCCCCCCCTGCTCCGTGGGAGCTGCCTTCCAGGCCACTCTGGCTTGGGGGAGGGTGGATCTGCCCGAACAGTAGCTGGGGCAGCCGAAGGGGGGGATGGCTGGCAAAAGGGGGAGAGATCTCTGTCTGGCTCACAAGGCCCAAGTCTTCTCACATTCCTCTGCTTGTCTTCTGAACCTGGGTCAAAAAGTGGCCAGGTTTCCTTGCACCTGGACAAAACACGCGTGCGTTTGCTGACAGCCCACGAGGAGGCCATCCGCTTCTGTAGAGCACCACCTGCCGACCCATCTGGGAGAGGCCAGTGGAAAAGGCAACCAGGATGCCTTTTCTGCTGCCAGAGACACCAAGCCACAGAAGCCACTTTGGGTTGTCTGGCTTTCTCCAGGAGGCCTTGATAGCAATTCCTGCATTCAGCAGGGGATCCGCCAAGGAAAGAACGAACGGCAGCATTCTGTGAATCCTTAAGAAATGCCCAGGCCAAGCTGGTGCCAAGAGCTGGATCCCCCTCCCCCCATATCTCTACATCAATAGTGTTTGTCAATGAAGCAGTGCACAATTGTCCCATGGTCATCTCCTTATCTATGTACATGTAGCTGGCCATCTCAGTATCCAGCTGGAAAGCCCCCCTTCCGGGAATCAGAGGCTGCAGCCCAACCATTTTCAGTCCAGAGAATGGCCTGCACCACAGCACCGTCGTTGGTCCTCTTGACCTCGTGTTTCCTTTTCACCAGGTCTTCTTCGATTTCCTAGACGTGGGAAGGGAGAACCAGGTCACGCAGTTATCTTCAAGAGATCCAAAAGCATTTTCTTATATCAGATTCTTTTGCCTTGTGGGCCAGAGTTAATTGTGCTCAGCCAAGAGCCAGCTGCCTCCCAGCTAGGGTGTCCGGGATGTTCTGTCACAAGTTACCTGTCAGCTTTAGCTGACGACGCTATTGGACAACGCTGCCACTCGGAAAGCACCTTGAGCTAAAGGGAGCCACTTCACCCAACCTGAGACTCTGCATGTGTTTCACAGAATCATATAGCCCTCTGGTTCCCCAGCAGCCTAACGGCACAACAGTGTGACAGAGGTGAGGAAGACACTCCAACCTTCCACTGTTGACCCCCTTTGGGCCCCAACCCGGCTCCTTCGGTTATTAAAACAGACCTTTTTTATATCCTTCTCCAGAAGTGTAACCGGGGGGAGCAACTGGTTATGAACTCGTGGCTCTTCCACAGCAGCCTTCACATCATAGCCAAGCCACAAGGCATTGATGATGGTCTGCACAAAAGAAGAGGTGTAGGATTAGGTCTCCAAGCATCTCCTGGCAGGATTGAAGCTGATGTTCTTTCCAGAGCTCCATGAATCCAGGATGAGTTGGAAGAGACAGAGAGACTTTAGCTGCTCCGTAAAATGTCTGCCTTGCCAAGGAGCTTTAAGATGTACTTGATCGTTGCTTTAACCAACAACTGTTTCCCCTAAGAGGTCGAGTGCGAGGTAGATAAGAATGGAAAGCTCAATGCCCCCTAGGAGTTTCAACTTTGGGTGAATTGAAAGTTTTTTTTTCAAGGTCTACAATTCAAATTGTAAATTTTGGGGGCTTTCAAATCCAAATGTAACTTTAGATGATAAACACCTATCAATCTTTTCTCTCCACCTTCCTTTCAACTACCCCAATCCACTGCAGCTGCAGCTAAACCCAAACACAGATATTCATTCTATGGCAAAGAGTACAAAATTGATGTCACTATGGGGGTTAAATGTCTTTTTTTTTTCCCCCAGAAAGGCAAAATCTAGGAGGGCTTCGAAGATAGTCCATTCAGGAACCTGAATAGAAAACCTGGTGAGATTTCCTTTGGAAGCCGCTTCTCTCTCTTTCTCTCAAGCATCGCGTGGATCCCCTTCACTGGATCTATTCGACCCCCTTGGAGACCTCAGCTAACCTTCTCTCCTATTGCCAGGCCCACCTTAGGAGTCCTCCATAGTTGACCTATGAAAACCTTGTCCTGGTGGGCACGCTGCTAGCCCCAGAGCAGAAACGGAGTCATAGAGGGAGATGCCCACAAATTGCCCTGGGGCCCTGCTTGTCCCCACTCAAGAGAGAATCTACGGGGTTTGGGGGTTTCTTGAAAGAGCAAGACGAGATGGTCTCCAGAAGCATCCCTCGGCCTACCCAGCATGACCCACCAAGGCTGTTGCGGTTGTGATTTTTGTCCCTCCAGAAGCACCGACCACCATCCTGACTTTGTTCTTCTCATCCACCAGGATAGTCGGACACATGGATGAGAAAGGTTGTTTACCTGTTGGGGATGGAGCCAGGTGAGATGCATTGCTGGACACGATCCTCGAACATGCCACTTAAACCACTAGCCAGTATAGTTGCAGTAGTAAATATCCTGTGAACTATGGGCTGGTTCCCATTAGCCCTTCCTTTGCTCCTGTACAGGTGAGAGTACATGGGAGGGGTTGGCCAACCAGCATCTTACAAGTTAACTTCTCCTTGCAGGAACGGCCACATTTCATCATCCTTGACCGAGTCCTTGCGGTGTTTTTACAGACTTTTCTCTCAGACCTGCAACTGAGATTCCCTTGGGCTAGCCCCCAAAGAAGGCTTCTTGGATGGCAGGGACCATGGCTGAATTAAGCGGACGGGGCTCAACCTCCTCTGCCTACTGCCCCCCCCCCCAGATTCTGATGCAATGGTTGGGGGATTGGGCAAGAGCTGATCTCACAGGCTCAAGGGGGAAATATTCTGAGCACTGAATCCTGGGAGAAACAGGGAGGAGCCCTTCCCACAATCTTCCCCTTGGCAAACTGCTTCCTAGGCAATTTCACGGTGAGCCTCAGATACAAGTTGGGATCCCTTTTGTTTTGTAAGCCACACAACTTAGGGCATCACAACACAAGGAAGCAGTTGCTCTCCCCTGCCGTAAAGGAAGAAGACACGGCTCCCCTGCTAGAGGGAGAAAGGGGGCATGGAAAGGGGGTCGGTCTGTGTGTCCAGGGGTCCTGATGCAGCGCTTGGAGGGCTCAGTTGGGAGTCTGTGCCATAAGTGGGGTTCAGGCCTTCTGAAATGCCAAGCAAAGACCAAAGCAAAGGCGTTTGTATGGCCTGTGAAAAGCAACCATTGCCAGAATACTGGGAAGAGAAAAAATATCTGGAAAGGAATTAATTGGGAGGGGAGGGAGATAAGGAAAAAAAAAAATAAAGCTTGGAACGTGGCTCAGTTCGGCAGCGAATGCCTGAAAGAAAACGTCTGGGCTGAGAACATCCATATGTTTTTTTTCTACCAGTATTACTCTAATCAGTATAAAAGGTTAGAGAAAATAGATGAATGTCTCAGGAAGCCAAAGGTGAACAAAGGAAATTTATGTATGAGCCGTGGTGGCACAGTGGTTAGAATGCAGTACTGCAGGCTACTTCTGCCGACTGCTGGCTGCAGTTTGGCAGTTCGATCCTGACTCAAGGTTGACTCGGCCTTCCCTCCTTCCGAGGTGGGTCAAATGAGGACCCAGATCGTTGGGGGCAAATAGGCTGACTCTGGGAACTGCTTAGAGAGGGCTGGAAAGCACTGGGAAGCATATATAAGTCCAAGGGCTATTGCTATAATGAATAATATATAATATATAATATAATAATAATATAATGAAGTCTCAGAATCAATCTCAAAGAGCAAACCAGGGAAAAATCAATCTCAAAGAGCAAACCCAAGCTATTATCAATCTCAAAGAGCAAACCCAGGCTATTATCACTGTCAGGCTCCAGAAACCAAGGAAGAGCCACTGAGGCTCGTCTAAGCAGCTCCCTTTATTGTTCCTCAACTCTAGACAGGTAAGACGGGCAGCCTATAAATTCAATGACTCAATAAATAAATCTTGCCGGCAGCCATTGCACCATTCAAGAGACCTTCCGGGAACTTCCAGGGAGGAGCTGCTCCCTTCAGTCTCTCTTCTTCCTCCTCAACCTCCCTCTGCTCTGCCTGGAATGTGGCCCCACCCAGCTGGGAAACCAGGCTGCATTTCACCCCAAGGATGTGGGTGGTTCGAGGAGGAACTTTGATAACCTTTACAGAGCCCAAGGAACTCTGCTCTGCAGGGGGGAAGAAGGATTCCAGGAACTTGGAAAGGGGCCGGGATAACATTAACGGCTCAATAAGGACAAAAATGGACTTCGATAAGAAATTACAGACCAAAATCATTAATGAATTACCTTGCGTTATCTCAAAGCAAGATGGCTGAACAATTGATTTATTAAATAAATAAATAAACAAATAAATGCATAAACAAACAAACAAGCAAACAAATAGATTATAAACTGTTCACCATTATTTTAGCGGAAAGACTGAAAATAATTTTGCAAGAATTCATTCACGGGGCTAAATGTGGGTTTCTACTAAAAGATGATTGAAAGATAACGTTAGAACTGGGTTGGATATTTTGGAATATATGAACAACCTAATAAAAGCCAGATACTTTTCTTTTGAGACTATTGGGCAACACGCCTTGGTCTTTTTTTGATGCAGAGAAGACTTTTGGTCACTTGAACTAAATTATTTTTATTGAAGGTTTTGGAAGATAATGAATTTTGGAAAGAATTTATATTTCGCAGACAGACCAAATTATCACTAATGAAGATTTAGCTAAACCATATGAGTTTTTTTGGCCTTGAAATACAAAATAGACAAGACAAGATGAGAGGGTCATGGGTTTGAAGATGAAGAAAGAGTCAAAAAGTTAAGAGCTGTTGCAGAGATGGCTTGGTTTTGATTTGGACAGATTCTTCACGGGGACCTGAACTTTGAATGAGGAAATGAAAAGAATTTGGATGATTAATAAAAAAAAACCACACAAATATATTAATAAAAATAGATAGTTACAAGACTATGATAGATGACCTATTTGTATGGAATAAATATCAATTTAGGTTTTCTTCCAAAATGCCTTTGTGGCTTTCAGCACATGAAGCATTTAATAGACCTGATATTATAAGTAAACATAAATGGATCACCTACCAAGATGTACTAGAATAAGTACAATTGAAGCCAGATACTTTTCTTTTGAGACTAACGGGCAAGCAACTAGAAAGTCATGGAATTTATGTTTTATATGCAACTGCGGTGAGATTATTATATGGTCCAAAGAGGGAAGGCTCAATTTTATCCACAGTAGAGGAAGGTTGATGGAGGGAGATGAAAATTAGAAGTTGCATAGAAAAGGCAACATCGACACTTATGGTTGACTGGAAACCCCCCATAGAATTTTGCATGAAACAGAAAAAAGACACTTATGATTTGTGGTTATAAGAATTAGAATTATTGGGTTTTTTTTGTAATCGTAGGGTAAGAGAGATTTGTTTTCATTGTATGTATAATTGCTGCAAAAGAAATTGGAAATTTTCCTTCCTTTTTCCATCCACTGCCCTTTATTAGTTTGTGCTAGTTTTTAATGTGTTTTGTAAAACTTTAATAAAAAAATTTATTTAGAAAATGAGCTAGGGCTAAGACCCCAGAGAAGGGTCTCTGCAGGGGACGGACGAAAAAGGCAACCTAAGCCAAGCTTCACACAAAAGGATGTGGCTGCCATCTTGATTTCTTTGACCACCCACGACCCCCTTGGGAGAAGGGAAATGGCGGCCCGCTCGGCCTGGCCCACCCCCTGGAGGCAGCAGAGGCCTTTCCATGCTCCTTCCACGGCTGCAGAGACACAAGAGCCGAACAGGGAGGGGGAAGGCAGGGGCTGCCTGGAGGAGACCCTCCCCAGAGAGGGGCCCGGACGGGGGCCGGAGGGTTTGGAGGAAGAGCAAAGCCTTACCTGGGGCAATGAAGTTGGCCACCGAGGGGGGCACCCCGAACCCGTTCAATATGTGGGGGGAGCTGAAGTCGTCCATCTCGTCGTTGAAGATGATGCCAGTCACAGGGGAGCGGAGGTCGGAGCCGAAGCTGCAGAGGCAGGCGAGAGAAAGGGGGTCCGTTCGTCAACCCAGGGGTTCCTCTTTGCACCCAGCTTTCCTGCCACCCGTCCCAGACCTCGGGCATCGCCAGCCCTCCTCCCAGAAGCAGTTTGGAGGAGAGCTTCTCCCCCACCCAAGTGAGGCTGGTGCAAAAGCCAGGCTGGCTGGGGGGTGCAGGTGCTCCCCTACTTCAGGGTTTGTCCAGAAGGGGAAGGGAGGCAGCAGAGGGGTGGGGCGGTGCCAGAACATAACTGGGGAAGGAGCCCGTCATGCAGCCCCAGCCAATGCAAAAGGAGGGGGGCAGGGGAAAGACAGTGGGGAGCAATGGCAGGTGGCTGGCACCATAAAGTGGGACTGTGAGGAGGTGGGCAGTGTTAGCTGCTTAGCCAGTCAGGCGGGTGGCAAGCAAAGATGGACGCCCTCCAGCTCTGGTTGGGGACTCTTTGGAAAACAACAAAGACCACTAGCTCTGCCAACAAAGCAACACAACAGAACAACACTCCTGCTTGTGCACACGCACACACAGAGAGACTCGAATGCCATCCAGAAAGATCAATGCTGGGATCAATGATTTGGGTGGGCAATCATCCAGGGGCTATGGGGCCCGTTCCCTTGGCTTCTCTCCAGCCTCCAGGGGCCGCTCCCCTTTCTTGGCTTCGGGAGCCTGGAGCTTGTGGAGGAAAAGCCACGATTTGGAGGAGGGTCGTCCCAGAGCCCCTCAGCCCTGACCCTGCTGGGTAGGGCAGCCTGACTCCGTCCTAGAGCCTCACTAGTGGTTGATGGTGCTGGTGGCCGACACCGCACTGCCATCCTCAGCCACGACAGAGACGTGGGATGTGCCAGCATGTTCCGGAGTGTAGTAATCTGGTTCGTAATAGCTGATGTTATGCGTCGTGTTGGTGATTTTGCCCCGCAAGCTGTCGGCCAAGGATTCTGAGGTCATGTTTCTGATCACCTAGATGGAAGAACGGAAGAGAAATCCTACAGGAAAAGGCAAGCGATCATTCAAGAGGCTGATGGCCTTCCTTGGGTCTTCCCCAAGCAACTAATCTGATGGCCAGCTTGTCTCTCAGCTCAGGAGCCCCACTCGGCTCTGTTTGGCCGGGAGGAGGGTAGGAAGGAGGCAAAGGAGCAGAGCAAGGCATGGAGCTACCTCTGTCAGGTTGACAAACGCAGGGTCCCCAAGCAAGCTCCTCTTGGCATAGGCAAAACGGAAAGCCTCCAAGATGCAGTGGTACATCCAGCCCTTCTCTTCCGGAGTCCGGGTGCTGCTCTTAGAGAACCGGAAGCCTGCCGGGAGATCAAGCACAAACATCAGGCATGTCAGGGTCCATTGCCCACCAAAGCCAGAGGTCAGAGCAACCAAGGGCTGCCATTGGTAGCTCAAACTTGGATGAAGACAGTAAGTTAATGCAAGTTTTCCATGAGATGGTAGGAAATGATGGTTGTGGCAAGGATGGTCTGAAACAAACCCGGATGAGAAAGAGGGGTGGGGAGGGAAAGGTTGAAGAGGAGTGTCCCAGTAGTCATTGGGGAAACCTGGGGAAATGCTGGAAGCCGTGTATTAGTGACTTGGGGTTTTCCTGGACTCACAATTCCTGCGGCAACACCAGATTGGAGCCGTAGCTGGGAGTTGTTTTCATTCATCCCTGACAGGAAGTGAAAAGTACAAAGGTGGATTTGTGAGGCCTCTGGCCTGAAAAAGCACAGGTAGAAAGGAACAACATTTGGGAAGTGCAGTGTGGTTGCTGCCTTACATTCACTAAAGAAGACACGAGTGTTTGTTACACCTTCTTTGATTTAGAAAACATACACAACACAGGTGAATTATGGAATGTTTTGGGTGAATGTGGAGGTTGGTTGCTGTGGGGGTAAGTGGAACGTGGCAAGGGGGAAGGAAGCCTGTGACACGGAAGGAAATGCCAGAGGCTCAGCGCAGAACAGAAACCGAGTGGCGCACAGCCCATCTTGAGGTGGGGATAAAAGCACAAGGAACGGTAAGGGGGTAAAAGAGCTTTGAGGATGGGGCAAGACGTGGGAGGGAGGTGAAGACAGATGGATGTGGGGGGCTTGAATCTCCAAGACCAGCAGGGGAGCCCACTGAGGAATGCCAGGCTCTGCTGTAGATGCACCACACCTTGCAAAAGATTTCTGAAGAAATCCATGGGAAGAGCCTGGGGGGGCAAGATAGACGGAATCGAGCAATATCTCCCCCTGGAATTGGAACATTTCTCAAATGGGGGTCTGGGAGGTTTCAAGAGGTCGAGGGGTAGAAACCTCTTGAAGCACCACTTTCATTTGTACCATTTCTCCCTGATTGGCATGATTTAAGCAGCCCAAATGTTGCAATGCCTTTAGGTAAAGCTCCCAAACAGAAGTGCAAAAAAAAAAAGCCAAATAATTTGGTTCGTGTGATTCGCTTCTTTTCTCTGTTTCTGCCTTGAGGGGCGGGCGGGGGGGAGTAGCTTTGAAAAACCATCAAGGCCATCTAAAGTTATAATAAAAATGCAATTAAAACTAACACAAACCAACGTTCCACACAACTGAAAGATCAAGGTAAAACCCATAAAGGGAACAAGGAAAAGTGACGAGGCTGGCAGTGGAAATGCCCTCAAGGCAGGTGAGGAAGGACACCCTTGCCTGGCAGCTGCCAAATGCATCAACTGCCCCCCGCAATCTTTCACTGGCACACACAGTTTCCACCATGAGCTCTTTTGGGGAGGGGGAGATTTCTGGTGGCAGCCCCCCCAAAAAAACCTGTTAGGCTCAGTCCCCCCTAACCGTCCCCCCAACTGTCCTGCATTTCAAATCTTGAGGTCCTTGTCCTCAGCCCCCCACCCACCCACTGCCCCAGGAGGGGCTGGGAGAGCCAAGCCCCTTAGCAGAGCCCAAAGGCCTGCTTGGCTCCCCGTGGGTGATGCCCTTGAGCGGCCCAGGTGGAAGAGGAAAGGGCACCTGCCGGGGAGAGAAGGTGGACAGGGAGGCCATTTTAAAATACCTGGAAGCCCATCCAGTTGAGGGACACCCTCAAAACTGTCCAAAGCAGTTCAGCCAAAGAGAACTGCCGGCCCCCCGGATCAGAGGAGTGGAATGGAGGGACCCCTGGGCTGAAACCATCGGGGTGCCCCTGTTTGGAGAGATCCTGTGGCAGCATTTTTCATAGCTCATAGTCCCATCTCTCTGCCCGCCCACCTCCCCCCAATTAAGCTGCTGAAGCAGAGTTGACATTCCGGTCCTGGGAGACGATTTTGCAACCTTCCTGAAAAGCGAATGTCCCAATGAAACCTTGTAAGTGGTAAAGAGACGGAAGAATCCTGACCTTTCAGGATGTTGAGGATCAGGGCCAGCACAGGACCGCTTAAAGGTGCATTGGGCACATACATGCTGAACTGGCCAAGTTGCACTTTTAAAGGATTTTCTTCCAGGGTTGGTCGGTAATCCCTCAGGTCCTCCAGGGTAAGGATCCCTCCTGGAACAGAAAGGAAGGTAACCCTGGCAACTGGGCCATTTAGAGACGATGGACAAATCCCCGGCTCTGCTTCACCCACTGCCAGGAGCCCCGTCTTGCTCACGGGGGGGGGGGGAGTCACCCACATGGCACCCAGATAAAGGGAGAAGGGCTGGGCGGCATCTGCCAATATTTAACCAAAAAAGCACATCTTCTAAGCTTTACCCCGCTCTTAACTTTGGTTAGTTTTAATTCTGGCTTGATTTGTATTGCTGAACTTATATTGTGTGTATTTTGAATGCTCTATTTGGCGGATGAGTCAGAAAGTGGGTGGAGCCCTTTCTGGGGGCTGCAGAGGGGCTCATGCCAGCCCTCACCTCCCCCAGAGAGGGAAAGACTTTGGCCAAGTTGGCACCCGCTCTGGGAGACACATACTTTCTAAAACTCTCTTGAATGCTTCTGACTCTCAGCCAATAGGTTCTCGTTTCCAGGCTGCCGAGGCCAAATATCAGCTTTCTAAGTTACTAAGATGTGCTTCGAGGTTTGGAGGGCTCCACAAACCAGTCTGGCTTCTCCAAGGAGGATCGATTATCTGGGATTATCTGAGATTATCTGAGCGAGAGGGACAGCGAGCACTGCCCCCTCCCTGCCCCGTATCAGAAAGCTACTGCTACAGTTCAGATGCCCCATGGCCCCTGACTTCTATTTTATTATTTATTGCTTCGATTTATTTGATTTGTCAATCGCTTACAAGACAATAGGTATAAGTATAAACACGAGTAAGAATACAGGAAATAGGTACGAATAAATGGGGACAGGGACGGTAGGCGCGATGGTGCGCTTATGCACGCCCCTTACAGACCTCTTAGGAAGGGGGTGAGGTCAATAGTGGATAGTTTGAGGTTCAAGGAACTGACCTGCTCTCTCCAAAGTGATTTGATGCTCCAGGCCAGGAGCCTTCCTTTCCAATTCACAGCCAGTTTCTGAACAATGTTTCTTGAGTTCATCTATAGGTATCTGAAGTGGGTCTCTGAATGCCATCTCAAGACCCTCTTTCCACCTCCAATTCTTGGAAGCAAAAGCTAAAGTGCATAGAGCCCCCTCCCCAAAGGGGCTGCCCAGAAGCATCGATGGCAGGACCAACAATCGGCACCAAAGAGGTTAACAGTCTGCATCCCTCCCTGCAAAACCAGGCGTTTTCCTCTCTCAGCTATGGCATTTGGGATGATTTCCACAGGGAATTGCAATCTTAAATGGTGTAAATGTGATCACTCCTGGATTCTTAGGTCTGCCACAATGTCCCTCGCCTACAAGGCCTGGCTCTTCTGTGGCTGCCAGCCATCTTCCCCACCATTGGTTCACCCAAGAATTCTGCAACTCAGCAACATCCTCTGGCCCCACAACACTGGACTCTTGTCAGCCAGTAAACCAGACAAGAAACCCAACCAGGTGAGCTAAAGCTCCTTTACTGTAAGGCTGCATGAACAAAATCTCGCAAGTCTGAAGATGCAAACTTCCCTCTGCCACAAAAGTACTTGATCCATTGGTGCAGATCAGAGGTGGTCTTCAGCCGGTTCTGACCGGTTCTCTAGCGGAAATTTTGAGTAGCTCTGAGAACCGGCCAATCCCACCTCTGACTGGCCCCGCCAACCCCATCTCTTCTCTGCCTCCCATTGAGTCCCGGCTGATCGGCTGGGTCTCCTTTGGTTTCCCTGCACAGGAGAACAGAGCTGGAAAGCAGGTCAGTGAGGTGGGGAGGGAATGGGGATTTTGCAATCTCCTTCCCCTGCCATGCCAACCAAGGCACACCCACCAAGCCACACCCACAGAACCAGTAGTAAAAAAAAGAATTGAATCCCACCATTGGTGCAGATCCATTTCTAAGGTTCTTTTTCTGTCCGTTTGGCCCTGGGGACTCCCGTCTCTCTCGTCTGGTTGCTTCCTTGGCAGCTTCTCTTCCCCTTGTCCCCCAAGGTCACCCACACAGTCCATTACAATTCTGTGGCAAGGCCATCTTTGCAGAGTCTCCCCCCCCCCCGCCACACACAGACAGGCTACTTGATAGGGTCTTCGGTGGGCTTTGAGACACCACCAGCTCTTTTGAAGCAAATATCCCTACTGATTATATGCCATGGAAAAAAGTTTTGCTAAGTGGGTAGCAGAAAATCCCCCCCCCCCCGCCCGAAGGAGGGAGCTTGTTATGTGTATGCAGACCTTTCCACGGGGTAGACCTGACCCTGAGTGCAAGGATGCAATCCCCGCTCAGAACCAACAGTCCCGGGATGGGGCACAGCAGGGCAGGACCAGCGGTTTCGTTCGAGCAGAGGGTGAAAGAGGAAACCAGCCTCTACTGGCTGCCCAGATTGCTTGGATTGATCCAAAGGAGAAAAACCATAACCGCCTCCCTCCTTGCTTTGCAGGCAGTTGGCTGCTCACCTGCATTTTGGACCTCGGCCACCATCTGCTGGGCCAGGCTGCCAGTGTAGAAGGCGTCTGCACCTTGGTTGGCGATGGTCTCGTAGGTGCTGGCCAGTTTGGGCAGGCGGAGGAGTTGCTTCTCCTGCAGCACCTTCCCGCTTTTGCAGAAGACCTCGCTGAAAACAAAGGCATTATTGGAGAGGAAGCCACGAGCCCGGCCAGAGTTTCTTCCACCTCAGGCAACTTCAAGAGGTGTCGACTTCATCTCCCGGGACTCCCCAGCCAGAACTGTGGAAGCTGAAGTCTCCACTCCTTAAAGGTTGAGCAACTTCCTGCGTCAACTCAGAAAGCTTAGATTGCCTGAGGAGCTGCTGATACAGTTCTTCTACAGAGCCTGTCATTTGAATCTCTGTAACTGTCTGGTTTGGCACAGCAACCAATCCAGACAAACTCAGATAGTTTGTCTCAAACTTCAACGGAGAATTAGAACTGCAGAAAAAAAACAATGGCAACCAGCCTGCCTTCCACTGAGGGCCTGTATGCTGCAGGGGGCAGAAAGATCCTGGACATAAACTGTTTGAATTTCTCCCCTCTGGACATTGCACCAGAGCATTGCATGCCAAAACAATTAGATACAAAGATAGTTCCTTTCCCCTCACCCCCGTGTCATCCCTGCTAACCACATAATCCCCACAGCACTGTCTTAGGCCTAAAGATATTTACCCATTATTATTAATCTTCTCGTCTTTCCTATTACCTTCTCCTGTTGCTATCTATGGTTTATTACTTCTTGTTGTATATTATGATTAATGATTGTATGATCTATGACCTATCACTTGTTGTTTGTATGTATTTTGAGAGCTTATGCACCGGAGACAAATTCCTTGTGCCCGATCACATTTGGCCAATAAATAATTCTGTTCTGTTCCATTTCATTCTATTCACTATACACTATATCGGGCCCTGACCTGGTGCATGAAAGTTGGTTCCTGCTGGGCTGCATAAATTGCACCGTGGGCTCTCCTGTCCCAATCCAAGAGCATTCAGGGTTTGCAACCTGGTGTGCCCCAGATGGAGAGATCTTTTAAAGCTTTTTTTCTATACAGAAAAAAAGACACTTGTGGGTAAACTACAAAGTGAGTGCAACCTCCGCCCCCTCCCCTTTTAAAGTGAGTTCGTGTTATACTTTTCCCAAAGCCTGTCCCTCCTTAGGGTGGGTTTTTGTGTGGAAGGAAAATTCAAAGAAAATAAACTTAGGTCGTGCCAGGTGTCACGCAGCCTCTCGTTCTCACCGTAAAAGTTAGCAGGAGCCTGCTTACGAAACACACATAATTGGCTTGGTCTCAGCCTCTCACCTTCCTGCACCTGTTCTCTGCTGGTTTCCAATTACCTTGCTCCATTAGAGCCAGAATTAATCAGTGAGCAAACATGGGTGACTCCATGGCCTCAAATTCCAGCCACACATGAAACCGTGGCCGCCTCTCACGGCCACCTATCCTACTCTCTGCACCCCACGTTCTCAGGGCCTCTCGATAGCCTCTCTTCAACCCAATGAGCTGAGCTGAGCTGCTGGCTGGGAAAACTTCCCGGCTGGAGTAGAGATAAGGAGGCCACCTCACCCTTCGGCAGTCAAGGAGCCTTACGAAAGGGATGCTGTGGAGGAGAGCCCGGACATGGCCCTCCTCTGGGAAACGGCCAATGCATTGCGGCACTTCTTAATGCTGCTTCCATAGTTAGACACCAATCCTAAGATACCCTCATGAAGCAGCCGAAACAACCAGATGTACCAGAACGGACTGGTCACCTTAACCTGCCTAGACAAAGAGGAAGGTTTGACCTGCTGATAAAAGGCTTGTGGGGTCCACACTGGGGATGGTTCTACAGGGAACAACAATAGCACTCAGACTTATATACCGCTTTATACTGCTTTTCTGCCCTCTCTAAGCAGTTTACAGAGTCAGCATATTGTCCCCAACAATTTGGGTCCTCATTTTACCCACCTCGGAAGGATGGAAGGGTAGGATGCAAATATTTTTACTACTGGTTCCGTGGGTGTGGCTAGGTGGGAGTGGCCATGTGACTGGGTGGGCATGGCTTCTTCTCTTTTTGCATACACACACACACACACACCCTGCACTCTGTTTTTTTGCCTCTTGGGCCTCAGGGAAGCCTCCTGGGCGAAGCAGTAAGACAGCGAGGGGGATCCTGGCACAGCTGGTCATCGGAACAGCTGATCGTCAGGAGGGAGGGGGAAAAAAGAAATACCGGTTCGGCCAAACCGGTAGCTGTTTTTTTTACTACCGGTTCGCCGAACATGGCCGAACTGGTAGAATACCACCACTGTGCAGGAGATCTTCCCCAAATTGCACAATGGTCTTGAAAGGGCCTTCCCTTCAGATGTTGGGCTCCAGTCTAAAAAGAGGTATTCCTTTAACAAGATCTTGACCATCAGTGGCCATGGTTGAGACGCCCTCTTTCCCTTCCTTCCTTCCCTTCCTTCCTTCTGTCCCTTCCTTCCTCCGCCCCTCCCTCCCTTCCCTCCTCCCACTCTTTTTCCTTCCTTCCTTCCTTCCTTCCTCCTTCCTTCCTTCCTTCCTTCCTTCCTTCCTTCCTTCCTTCCTCCCTTCCCTCCCTCCGTCCCTCCCTCCCTCCCTCCCTTTCCAGCAGATCCCTGGGATGACCTAGGCAGTCCCCACCCCCTGCAACCTCCCTCGGGACCTCCATCTTGAGGTTGTGTCTCCCCTCACCCACCCAGCAGGGCATGTGCTGCCTTGGGCTGAGGAGCTCCCCTGCTGCCTACCACAAGGATGGGATGCTTTCAATTTCACTGCTCCTGGACTCCAGGGCTTTGGCCAGGCCTTTGCCAACAGAGAATCCTTCTCTGGCCAGCTGGATGCTGGGCTGAAACAGCTCCTTCCAAGGCAGTTTGCCATGCCGTCGGTGGGCCATTTCATAGCCACGGATTTCTCCTGGAACTGCAATGGACAATCCACCTGGAGCAGGCAGAGGACAAAGAGATCAAGATTCCAGCCAGTCCACTCCCCTATCATCCAGGACCATCAACATAATTATTTAAAAAGTCCCTACATCTAAAAAACATCCAAGTTACCCAGGAGCTTGCTCTTCCTGAGATCATCATCTGTGAACTGTCCTTAAATATGACATTTCGGTTCTTACTATGTTACAGAGCCCCTGATTATGACATCGAACACGTAAACAAGCTAAATACACTACTAACATGGACAGCATCCTGCCCACACACTTTTATCTTTCTTGGTGACTTCAATCTACCTCATATTAACTGGACCCTAAACGAATGTACAACTGAACCCATACATGCAACCTTCTACAATGCTGTAACAAATCTGGGACTGGAACAACTAGTAACCAACAATACTAGGCTTAACAACTGCCTCGATCTCATCTTCTGCAATAGTTTGAATTCAATATACGGAATACAAATTAAAGAACCCTTTTCCAACAGTGACCACAACGCGATTGACTTTTGTCTCAACATAGGTCCACACAAAAATCATCACAACGACGGAATCCCCAATTATAACTTCAAAAAAGCAAACTATGATCTTATAAACAACGATCTCTCATCCCTTGATTGGCAATTTCTATTCACTGGATGCAATACTGTAGAAGACCATTACAACATATTTTTACTAGAAATCAAAAGAGTCATCAAACTATATGTACCAATAACAACTCCAAAAACCAGAAAAAACAGATAACCCATAACAATAAGGAAGCTTCAATCCAAAAAGAGATCACTTTGGCGGAAAAACAAATCTTTTCATACTCTACATAAATGACCTCTGTGATCATATCAAGAGCAACTGTGTTCTCTTCGCTGATGATGTAAAGCTGTTCAACACCACAGAAAATACTGCTACCCTTCAAAAAGACCTCGACTATGTATCAGAATGGTCAAACAAATGGCAACTTCAAATCTCAATAAATAAATGCTCTGTCTTTCATATTGTCAAAAAAAAATCAGAAAATAAAATACAAGCTGACTAGTCAAGACCTTGTTGATGATCCAAACTCTGTCAAGGACCTTGGAGTACTCACCTCTAATGATCTAAGTGCTAGAGCCCACTGTAACTACATAGCCAAAAAGGCATTAAGAGTTGTTAACCTAATCTTGTATAGCCTTTTCTCTGGTAATATTACACTAATAACTAGAGCATACAAAACATTTGCTAGACCAATACTCGAATACAGCTCATCAGTCTGGAACCCACATTACGTATCTGATATTAGCACAGTTGAGAAAGTCCAGAAATATTTCACAAGAAGAGTTCTCCACTTGTTGCGGAATACCTTATGCCACCAGATTCGAAATTCTAGTCCTAGAAAACCTAGAACTACGCCGCCTTCGGTCCGATCTAAGTATGGTATATAAAATCATACATTGCAATGTCCTACCTGTCAATGAATACTTCAGCTTCAACCGTAACAACACAAGAGCACACAATAGATACAAACTCAAGGTTAACCGCACCAAACTTGATTGCAGGAAATACGACTTCAGCAACAGAGTCGTCAATGCCTGGAATACTCTACCTGACTCTGTGGTTTCTTCCCCAAACCCCAAAAACTTTAACCTTAGACTGTCTACTATTGACCTCACCCCCTTCCTAAGAGGCCTGTAGGGGGTGTGCATAAGCGCACCAATGTGCCTACCATCCCTGTCCTATTGTTTCTTTTATTTTTTTTATTTTTCTTATATGTATCCATGTATTCATAACTACGTTTTTACTTATACCTATTATCTTGTAAACAACTGAATAAATAAATAAACAAACAAACAAACAAACAAACAAAACAAACAAACTGACAGCCCAGAGCTAATTTGCAAGAGTTATTGACTTAGGCAATGCCTCATTCCTGTTAACCCCTGTTCTCCACTGAGTTTTGTAAGTGTCCAAGAAAGAAGCTCTCATTTTGAGTAGAGTTTATAGGTGGTTTGCAGGGAGACATCTTTACGACTTGTACAATCAGTAATTACTCTTAGTTTCAACCACAAAGTCTATCGTTTTAGTTCTTGTTATGCATTTTCAAGGCCAAGAATCATAGGACTAGGAGGGACCTTAAGAAGCCCAACTCTCCTGCTTAGTGCAGGATTAGAGCCTCTCTGATGACCACCCATCTTAGATAACAGACAGGAAGCTAAAGGTGACTGAGTAGATGCACAGAACCACAGAAGACCCGAGAACCACAGGAGACCCTTCAGTGAACCTTCTTGCACACAGCGTGTGGTTCTTGCCAGCCAAGCCACCCCACACATTCCTGATCCTGATCCCCTTCAGACTCTCTTGAGGTCCATGGACCCTTGATCCCAAGCTCATGAGGAGGTAGCTCATATGTGCAGCCAGCCAGCGCTGGCGGTGGTGCCTCTTGCTTTACCTTTCTGGGACAGAGCGGTGTTGTTGCCAAACATGTCTCGGGATGCATTCTTGGGCGCCATCTCCCTGGCGTTAATGATTTCCACTTTCCCTTGGGAAGGTAAGCAACAAGGTAAGGTTCTGCGGCCTCCCTGTTGGCAAGTTAATGCATAAACCTATCCAGCCTTTCTGAGTGACATCTTCAAGGCATAATAATTCCAAGAAAGGTTAACTTCAAGAACAAAAGTCATTGTGGAGGCCAAGCCTCTGTGCTGGTTCAGCAGTCAGTCATCACCTATTTCTCTGTCCATCGTTCGACATTGACCTCACTCCTATTTTTTGAAACAGAAGCATTACTTTTTGATAGCTAAGTAGTCAACAGTTGGCTCAGCAGACACGTCTGAAATATGACAGCATCTTATGGACAATGTCACCAAACAGGAGTAGGGGACGTCTGTCACCAAAAACTCATTTACCAGAAAAGAAGAAGGCCAGGTTGCTCTACTCCTCATGACCCCAGGCCCACCCCTACCTCCACCTTGTTCCCAGAAGACTATGTCGTGTTCCAGATAACCTTTTGTGTGCGTCTCTCTGCGAAAAGTCTAACCATCTACGATGAGTAGGGGTTGAAGCACCCAGATTTTCTCCCCTGACTGGTGGAAGCAATGTGTATTCCTGGAGCATCCTTGAAAATAAACCTACGTAGACTCTGGCACTTTGCTGGCAGCATGCCAGCTTTCCCTTATATTGGTGAACATTAACCCAAATGAAAAAAAAGCCATCAAGGCAACTGAGGTTGCTTCTCACATGCTGTACTACTATAAGTGCACAAATCCCTTCGGGTGGCTGCACACAACCTATTTCAACATGCCAAACAAGCCAACCATCCGTGTACGTCTCCTGGAATCCCCACACAAGGCTAGCATTGCTCCTGCCCTGCTTACCCTCGGCTGAGAGGATGGTGAAGAAAAGGCCTCCTCCAATGCCCATGCTGTGGGGGTTCATCAGGCCCATACACAGGAGACTGGCAATGGCAGCATCCACAGCGGATCCCCCTTTCTGAAGGATGTCCCTGCATGAGGTGAAAGATCAACATCGGTGAACCTTCCCAGGACAGAGCTGCAAAGGGACAGAAGGAGATTACAGCTGGCCAAAGAGGTTCCCCAAAACTAGAAGATTCTCCCACTTGGTCTCTTGAAAACCAAGACCAGCAACCACGCAGAAATTTGGAGATGCTTGGAGTCATAGTGGACAATCACTTAAATATGAGCCAGCAGTTTTCTGCAGCTGCAAAAAAAAAAAAAAAGCTAATGCATCCCTTGGTTATATAAAAAGGAATTAGAGAGAGTGACTAGCCCAAGGTGTCTCAACAGGCCATGTGCCCAAGGTGGGACCAGGCTCACAGCTTCGTGGTTTCTAGCCTGTGGTCTTAACCATGTCACCATACTGGCTCTTTTATTTGGCCGCAAAAGCAAATTCCTGTGGTGGAGCTTCAGATGTCATTTGGAGGCAGTCTGGATTGTGGCTTTTGAAAAAAATGAAGACTTGCACCCTTTTCCCGCCCAGACCAAATCAGGAGCTTCTGGGAATATGCAGCTGTTGTCCACCTACCTCCCAATGACCGAACAGGGGCCTGCATCCGTAGCCACTGCTGCCTTTGCATAGAGGTGATTTTGTGGCTGTGGGCGCAGCCCAAAGAACAGCCCAACACCAATTGCGACAGCCAAGAGCAGCGCCGTCAGGATCCCGATCTTCAAGAGCTTCGTGTTCATATTTCTTGAGAAATAAAAGGAGAGGCAGATTAGCAGAAGCGCCAGAGCAGTCAAGGCACAAACGAGGACACTTCAGCCCACAGAGGAACATGCAACCCTCCCCGGATGGCCAAGCATTGGCAGAGAGGTCAGGGCGATGGGCGATGGGTGAAGCTTCTTGGGATCAATGGCTTCAGTTGGCGCATTGGCCTCAAATGTCTTGAGGTTTCCTTATGTTTTTATTCCATTTCTAGAAACGTGACATTGCTCTGGAGCCCCAGAAGACAGAAATACAACCGGTTATTTCAAATACTTAAGCACAGAATGGCTGCAAAGCTCAGGTTGTCATGAAGGCTGTCTAAGGTGAAGGTAAAGGTTCCCCTGCACATGTGTACTAGTTGTTTCCAGCTCTAGGGGGCGCTGCTCATCTCCGTTTCTAAGCCGAAGAGCCAGCGCTGTCCGAAGACGTCTCCGTCGTCATGTGGCTGGCATGGCTAAATGCCAAAGGCGCACGGAGCGCTGTTACCTCCCCACCAAAGTGGTCTCTATTTTTCTACTTGCAATTTTACATGCTTTCAAATCGCTAGGTTGGCAGGAGCTGGAATAAGGAATGGGAGCTCACTCTGTAACACGGTGCTAGGGATTCGAACCGCCAAACTGCCGGCCTTTCCAATAGACAAGCTCAGCGTCTTAGCCGCTGAGGCACCGCGTCCGTCCCGCTGAAGGCTGTCTAGAAGGTGACAAACATGGGCCCTATGAACAGATAGGAATGTTGACCCCATTTCAAATCATGTTCCCCCTGACCAAATCATCAGCAGATCCCTCTCCTGTAGCCCTCCCCACAGCCCATCCTCTTTTGTGTCTCACTAGGAAGGAAGACCCCCCAAAAGAACTAGGGTAGCCTCAAGTCATGACAAGAAGAGATTGTGCCGTCCATTGTGTGGTGCCTCCCGAATGAGGCGCAAGCAGCACGACCCGATATCAGTACAGACCCCCCCCCACCCCCACCTGCAACCTGAAGTCCAGAGCCTCAGTGCTCCCCCCTCCCCCCCAGAGTGCTGAAGGTGGGGTGAGATGAGGGACAGCAGATGTGCTCTTGTCACCCTTACCGGATGTTATATGGAGCAATGTCGGGAAGCAAGCGATCCCAAAGCGATCTACGGGGGTTCCGTCCTTTCCTCCCTCGTGGAATCTCTCTGGAAAGACAAGCGCTGGAAGAAGAAGAGCTGGGGGGAGATCAAAGGCTCTCAGGTGTTGGATGATCTTTCTGCAGAAGGGAGGGCAATAGGACAAGCTCAGGGGGGGAGCAGCAGCCCGAGGCCTGGAGAAGCTCCCTGGCAAAGATTCCCTTCCATTGGCTCCTGAAGCCCTCGAGCCTCCTCCCCCACCGCACAACTGCCCTGGGTGCAGCTCTCCCTGGATAGCCTTCACCGGCCAACTTGGGAGTCACTGGGAGAAGTCTCCAGCAGCCGTGGCTAAGAGTCCATCTTGGACCACCAGGGCTCTGAAGTCCAGGTTTCCTGATCAAGGCGAGAGCAGCAGGTCCCCACCAGGCTCACGGTTCCCTGACATGGGTGCCTATGGGCAGTGGTGGGATTCCATTTTTTTTTACTACCAGCTCTGTGGGGGTGGCTAAGGAGGCGTGGCTAGGGGCGTGGCTTTTTTGCTTTTTGCAGCACCCCCTCCCCCCATTGTTTGGGCCTTCTGGGCCACAGGCAAGCCTCCTGGGGGGGGGGCTTTTTGCTCCCAGAAGGTTTCCCTAGGGCTCAGGAAGGCAAAAAATGGAGAGGGGGAGGGGTTTCTCTTGCCTTCCTGGGCCCCAGGGAAGCCTCCTGGGTGAAGCAGTAACACAGCGAGAGACATCCCGGCACAGCTGATTTGTAGGAACAGCTGATTGTCGGGAGGGGGGAAAAAAAGAAGTACCTTAAGAAGTGACTGGGTGGGCTAGTGTCAGGTGGGCGGGGCGAGTGACGGTCAGCAATCAGGAGACCGGGTTGGGGGCGTGGCCAGCCAGAAGTTACTACCGGTTCAGTGACCCACACCAAATCTTTGCTACCGGTTCACCCGAACCAGTGTGAACCAGCTGAATACCACTACTGCCTATGGGGCTTGGCAGGCCTGCTTTCTCCCAGCCGGGCCTGTTTCAGACAGGCCTTGGCTTCCTGCAGCTTCTCCCTTGCCGAGGCTCAGGGTGAGTCAGCACCGGAGGGTCATTGACTTGCTGACCCATCGGCCAACCCTTCGCCCAACCCTTCCCTCCCTGCCAGGTTGGGCTCCTGCTGCTCCTGGTTGGCCTTGCAGAGGACAAGTGACCGAGTAACCGGGCCAGGCGCAGCCTCTGCCTCTCATCTCTCACCTGAATGGAGTTGGGAAAAGGGCAGCACAACCAGCCCACTCTTTTGTGGAAAGGGCCATTTTATTTCACTCCCAAATGCTCTCTTTGGGACCTGGGCATCCCCTTCTTGGGATCCTGGTGCCTGGGCCTTAGTAAAAACATCTCAAATTATGCTCTTCATTGATTTCATGTTTGGAAAAATGGATGATGGGACACTTTCCCAAACTGGAGATCAGCTTTTGAACAAAACAGCTTTAGGCATTTGGTTTGTTGCAATGTACTTTGGCAAACATTCAGTTTCAACATTAAAGCAAAAGCTAAAAAGTCTTGCCTTGCGACAGAGAAGTAAAGCTAAACTTACGCATTTATCAAATTTCTAGACCACCAAACCCCCTTGCCTGACTCTGGTCTCAATTTGAGGAGCACTAAGACTAAAAATATTTTCCTATGATAGTGTTCGCTATGAATTTTCTTGTTGTTACTTCAGTCACTTAGTATTGGTTTAATATTAGCTACTTCAACCACTAATTTGAAGAACCTTTCTTCAAATGGAGATTTTGTATAATCATGGAAGGGACCTTGAAGGTCTTCTAATCCAGCCTTCTACCCAGGGCAGGGGTCCCCAAGGCAGCACCGCCAAATGGCCATCCAGCCTTTGCTTTCCCTCCACGACTCCTCCAGCAGCCAAGCTGTCCCCCCACCGCAAGGCTCTCCTGCCAGGCAGCTGCTCTGAGCTGAAGTCATCGGGTGAGTTTTCCCTCCTTCCCTCCCTTCCCTGCCCCGGTTCTTCTGCTGCCCTCGAGAGCTGTGGGGAAGAAATCCACACCCTCTTCCTTGTAGCGGCCCTTCCAGTACTGCAAGGTTGCCAGAGTTTCACAGGGCAACTCTGGAATAAAATGAGTCACTGAATGTATAAATTGTGTTCTGGGATAATTTTAAATCCCAGGGACCACTAACCGGTTCTGTGGGTGTGGCCTAATTTGTGGGTGTGGCTTGGTGGTCATGTAACTGGTTGGGCATGGCTTGTATGTAAATATTATAAATATTTATAAATATATGGAATCTTTTTATAAAAAAAGAGCAACTTTTACCTAAAATCAGACAAAGCGGGCAGGCAGATTGAGTTGCTCACAGAATCACAGATTTATTCAGTAATCTATTTATCTGCCATCAGCTAGTTTATTCTGTCGCATAAAATTTGCTTGCAAGCAAACTCACCAAATTAACTCACAACACACCATGTATGTAAATATTGCATTTTTTATATAAAAAAGAGCAATTTTTACCCAAAATCAGGCAAAGCAGGCAGGCAGATTGAGTTGCTCACAGAATCATTCAGTGATCTATCTATCTGCCATCGGCTAACTGAGTCGGTCACATAAAATTTGCTTGCTGTGAGACTGCACTGAATAATAGAACCTTCAGTCCTAAGGGAGGTTCGGCTGTGCTTAAAAGCAGAACTGAAGTTCTAAAGACTAGCTAGAAAGCAAGAAATGCAACCATTTCCTGCTTCCTAGCTAATCTAAATCTCATAGCTGATGGTTGGAAAAATAGCAATTTAGCAGGCAAGTTTGCCAGGTAAGGAGTGAGTAGGCAGGGAGGGTTCCGGTGGGCCGTGTGGGCAGCGCAGCCTTGTGTTTCTGCACAGCCTGGATTAATTGCTTTGGGGGAGGTGCTCTGTGGGTGAGATTTCTCTGCTGCCCACCAAAATTTTCTCATGGCCCAGTTGTTGACCGCTGCTCTAGCATGCCTGGGCGTGAGATGCACTCATCCTCCCACCAAATGTTCCTCCAGAACATTGCATCAGGACCAGAATCCCTGCTAGTCATTTCCACAAGCCCTCAGCTGAACACCGCCCTTGCCCTGAGCAGGCCTTCCTTGCTAGAGACGTCATTGGGCCCCGGATGGAAACGGAGCTCCTGGCCTCCCTTCCCGGCCTTCGTGACTCAGGAAAATCCCTCCATGCAAAATGGAAGATGGAAAACTTGAAGCACTTTTGATGCTGTGATTTCTTTTAAACTCATGAGGGAAATTCCTTGTTATAGTTCAAATTCTTCTTTTAATAGAAATCACAGCTTTGAGCACCAAGCAAATCTAGTATTCCCTAGCTGATATAATTTAACCTTTCCTTTCCTTTAACTTGAAATGTTTTGAAAAAGGATATTCCCCTATCAGTATGGCTTTATATTGAATCTATAGTAACATTCTTACCTTGTACGTTTTCCTTAACAGATATATATTATGGTTGGGCTAGAGTAGCTAAAAGTTGGCCTTTCATCCAGAGACTCTTTGATGTGGGATCTCCTATAAACATCTGGCTCACAATTCCTGTCCCTCCCACCCCTGGCTTCTCTGGGTTGAGAACCTCCTTGTTGTAAGCATTTCATAACATCTGTGGTTTTTCAGTCCCCACAATTGTTTGCTTAGACACCTTCCTACCACATTTCCCAGAAAACCTACGATGAAGGCTCTCCCATCTGCCCTGCCAGTCCTTAATCTCTCAGGTTGGCCAACCTGAAGTTGGCATGACATCCACCGGCAGAGAAAAGGGGATGAGCAAATTGGGTGAAGAACGGTTTGTGCCCACCGAGGGATGCATCTGGATCTGTTTCCCACAAGATTTATTGGCAATCTTTCTCTGTGTTAAGGGGGTTGGTCGATGTGAAATTAATTTTGGTTGAGCACAAACTTACCAAATCTGCAGATGATGCTAAGCTGGCAGGAATAGCCAACACCCAAGAAAATAGGCTCAAGATCCAGATGGATCTTGACAGACTAGAACCTAGCTAACAAAATGAAATTCAATGTAGAGAAAAGTAAAGTCCTACACTTAGCCAAGAAAAACCAAAAGTACACATATAGACTGGGTGAAACCAGGCTTAATAGCAGTAACTGTGACAGGGATCTTGGAATCTTAGTGGACAACCAGCTAAATATGAGCCAACAGTGTGCAGCAGCAGCCAAAAAAAGCCAACACAATCCTAAACTGCATTAACAGAGGGATACAATCAAGATCAAGGGAGGTACTAATATCACTCTATAAAGCCTTAGTAAGGCCACACTTAGAATACTGCATCCAATTTTGGTCACCACACTATAAAAAAGATGATGAAACTCTAGAAAGAGTGCAGAGAAGAGCAACCAGGATAATGAGGGGATTGGAGGATGAAACATATGAAGAACGGTTGCAGGAACTGGGCCTGGCTAGTCTAGGGAAGAGAAGGACCAGGAGAGACAGGAGAGCATCTTCCAATATTTGAGGGACTGCCACAGAGAGGAGGAGGGGGTCAAGCTATTTTCCAAAGCACCCAAAGGCCAGACAAGGAATAATGGATGGAAACTGAACAAGGAGAGATTTAACCTGGAAATAAGGAGAAACTTTCTGACAGTGAGAACAATCAACCAATGGGACAGCTTGCCCTCAGACGTTGTGGGAGCTTCATCCCTGGAGGCTTTCAAGAAGAGATTGGACTGCCATTTGTCAGAAAGGGTATAGGGTCTCCTGCTTGGGTGGGGGTTGGACTAGATAACCTACAAGGTCCTTTCCAACTCTGTTAATCTATTACTTTTTGACCATAGCAACAGAAAATATTCTTGATATAGAGCTGGTTGGACAATTGTACCCATGCCTAGGTTGAGAAAGAACTCAAGACAATTGGATAAGCTGAGTGGGCTTAACTTGGGTCTACAGAAGCTTCTGAAGGACCAAATTTTCCATTTCCCAGCACAACTGATCTGACCTCTATTCCTCATCTGACCTTCCCTGCAAATCTCTTTGTCTTGTGTTACTTGAGAAAAATAAGGGCAAAAGTTGGGCCCTGTAATTTTGTTTGTGGCTAAATCCTTCCCATTCCTTGGTGCTCCTGTTTTTAAAAATGAAAATTGCAAAAAGTTGGCTCTCCCCTTCAAATATAAGAGTCTTTTTCATATGATAAAATTGTACCTTGCTTGTATCCACTTCCTATTCCATGGTGTTTCCTTCTATTATCTTTCTTCTTTCTTTCTTTCTTTCTTTCTTTCTTTCTTTCTTTCTTTCTTTCTTTCTTTCTTTCTTTCTTTCTTTCTTTCTTTCTTCTTTCTTTCTTCTTTCTTCCTTCCTTCCATCCATCCATCCATCTATCTATCTATCTATCTATCTATCATCTATCTATCATCTATCAGCTGTGCTGACGGAGTGGTTAGAATGCAGCAATGCAGGCTACTTCTGTGACTGCCGGCTGCCAGCAGTTTGGCAGTTCAGTTCTCACTGGCTTAAAGTTGACTCAGCTTTCCATCCTTCCAAGGTTGTTAAATGAGGACCCAGATTGTTGGAGGCAAGATGCTGACTCTGTAAACTGCTTAGCGAGGGCTGTAAAGCACTAAAGCACTTAGACTAAAGTTTGTAAGCCTAAGTGCTATTGCTATCATCTATCATTTATTATCTAACATTCTCTCCTCTATCATCAAGATCACCAGTTTATCATCTATCATCTATCCATTAATCATTACCTATCACTCTATCATCTCTGTCTATCTGTCTGTCTGTCATCAATCATTTATCAGATACCATCTAGCTATCATCTATCATATCCCCCTTTATTCCTCTCTCTCTCTTTCATCTACTCACTTTGCAAAGCCATCTGACTTCCAGTTGCAAAATTGTTTTGTTGCCATTTCAATTGTCAAATGTGCATGGAAGGCCAAACTCCACTCCCCCCCCCCCCCAAAAAAAGCAGTAAAGCATTAGTGTGATTTGAAGCACCTTCCCCAAATTCTGCAGAGTTTTGCAGTGTAAATTCAGTGCCAGAAAAGCACACACAGATGGCTGAGGCTTCATTTAACTTCTTTATAAACATATAAAGTAAATTTCACAATACCAGTTGTAGATTTCTCCAACATGGAGCAGACATGTTACAAGCAACTCAACTTCAGCAGACAAGCAAGCAAGTTAGTTTCTCTTTTCACTTTAGAGCTGAGCACAGAACAGAGATAAACCACGGCCAGATTCTCTCTTTAAATTTCAGCCCCAAACTCAGCTCTCATTGGCTGACCTTGTTACCAAGTTCTATTCCAGTTCATGAATATACTCTGACACGGGGGCCACCACCCTGCCTTGCTTTAAGGCTCTGGAGAGAAGGCCAGCTAGGCAAAGGCTTTTCCAAACTGAAACTAGAAGTAGCTTAGGCATGGCTCTATGTTGAGCTCTGCAAGTCTGCAGCTATGTTGAGCTCCAAGTCTGTCTATTGAAGATGAAACGGCTTCTCTCCTCTGCTGTGCGTCTTGCTTGCCTGCTGAACTAAAGTGAAACTGAGGTTCAGTTGCTGTTCTGCTCTGAACCTGTAACAAGACTGCTTCTGTTTGAGTTTGCTCCATGTTGGAGAAATCTATGACTAGTATTGTAAACTTTACTTTATACATTTATAAAGAAGTTAAATGAAGCCTCAGTCATCTGCGTTTACTTTTCTGGCACCGAATTTACACTGCAAAACTCTGAACACTCTCCTGTCATGGGAACCTGCACAAAAGCCACTTTGACATCAAAGACACCTGATGACACCAAGCCAAGATCACGTGAAGTATTAGTACCGCGTTATAAAGCCTCAGTTAGACTACACTTGGATCACAATAGTATGAAAAAGATGTTGAGATTCTGCAAAGCAACAAAGACGATTAGGGAGCTGGAAACTAAAACATATAAAGAATGGTTGCAGGAATTGAGTAGGGCCAGTCTAGAGACAAGAAGAACAACATGACAGCAATGATCCAGTATTTGAGGGGCAGCCACAAAGAGCGGGGGTGGGGGTGTCAACCTCTTTTCCAAAACAACAGAGGACAAGAAGCAACAGATGGAAACAAATCCAGGAGAGATGCAACCTGGAATTGTGGAGGAACTTCCTAACCGTGAGGACTATTAACCAGGGGAACAGCTGGCCTCCAGACGCTGTGGGGGCTCCATCCCTGGAGGCTTTTAAGAAAAGCTATTTGCCTGAAGTGGTACAGGGTCTCCTGCTTGAGCGAGGGGCTGGATTAGAAGACCTCCAAGGTCCCTTCCCACTATGTTACTCTGTCCTGTTCTTTCTGAGGTCTGGTGTCCATCAGGTTGTGAGAGAATCTGCCCAGAACAATGGGCTCCAGACTCAGCATGCAGCTACCCAGCCTTGAAGTCAGTGGCTGAGGAAGGGCCCCCACCCCACATGTGTGGCTCTGACCTCTGAAGCCCCAACACTCTTTGGGCAACTGAAATGACTCTTGATGCTTCCTTTCCAGAAGGAAGAGCTGCTGCACCAGTTGTTAAGCAAGAGGGAAGAGAGAGAGATTAAAAGAGACACAGAGAGAGAGAGAGGGAGAGAGAGAGAGAGAGAGAAACAGACAGAGAGACAGACAGAGAGACAGACAGAGAAAGAGAGGAGGGGGAAAAAGAGGGAGAGAGTGAAAGAGAGAGAGAGACAGACAGGGAGAGAAAGAGGGGGGAGAAAAAGAGGGAGGGATAGAAAGTGGGAGGGAAAGAGAGGGAGAGAGTGAAAGAGAGAGAGAGACAGAGAGAGAAAGAGAGAGGGAGAAAAAAAGGGAGAGAGTGAAAGAGAGAGAGACAGAGAGAGAGAGAGAGAGAAAGAGAGGGGAGAAAAAGAGGGAGAGAGTGAAAGAGAGAGAGACAGAGAGAAAGAGAGAGAGGGGGGAGAAAAAGAGGGAGAGAGTGAAAGAGAGAGAGACAGAGAGAGAAAGAGAGAGGGGAGAAAAAAAGAGGCAGAGAGACAGAGAGAGAGAGAGAAAGAGAGAGGGGGAAAAAGAGGGAGAAAGTGAAAGAGAGAGAGACAGAGACAGAGAGAGAAAGAGAGGGGGGAGAAAAAGAGGGAGGAATAGAAAGAGGGAGGGAAAGAGAGGGAGAGAGTGAAAGAGAGACAGAGGGGGGAGAAAAAGAGGGAGGGAGAGAGGGAGACCACCTCGCTTTGCCTAGCTTACGGCACAAGGTTGCTCTCTGTCCAGAGGGTGGCAAAAGTGCCCCCAGCAACCTGGACCCTTTGCCCAGCAAGGCAGCCCCCTCCCCTCCGCATTCCTACCTTTCTCCCTGGGCTCAGAGGGCCAAGACGCTCCCTGGTGCCTCTCCGGTGCCTCTCCGGGTGGCCTTTGGCTTGCTGGGGGAAGAGCCAGGTGGTGGCAGCGGTGGTGGAGGTGGCAGCAGCAGCCGCAGCAGCAGCCACAGGTGAACTTTATGAAGGGGAGGGGCAAGGAGGGAGGGAGGGAGGGAACGGCCTGGGCAGGAGACGGGCTCAAAGATCTTGGACTTCATGCCCTGCCTCTGGGCTGCACCTCACCGGGAAAGGACTGGAGGGCAGCACCACGGTTTGGGATGGACTGAAAGCGCCAGAAGCAGCCTGACTCAAGGAAAGCCGTTTCCTGCTTCCCGCTGAGGAAGGGGCCGCTCCCCCCCTGCCCCCGGCCTGGCTGCAGATGAGCAGCAAAGCCCCCCCCCCGACAGAGAAGGACGGCTCTCCTTGGCCGGAGGGGCTGATCCCTGGGGGCCTCCAGCCCTAGGATTCTGCCCCTGTGAAAGGAGGCTTGGGGGGCCCAGGGAAAAGGGAAGGCCCCAAGCCAGGCACTGCGGGCTGGCAGGAGACCCCATTTCCCCTCTCGCTGGACTGGAATCCAGGAGAGATTCTCTCCCGTCACGCGAAGGATGCTCTCCCTACCCCGGGCCCATTAAGGCCCCTTATGGTCATAGATGTGAGGTACTTAGACCACAGTGAAGCTCTGTGTGTGTGTGTGTGTGTGTGCGCATGTGCAAACCAACTTGTGTTGGCCAACGGAACCAGGACTGACCCTGACCCCTAGCAGGGTCACTGGCCAGAGCAGAGGTCAAGCGGTTGCTGGTGTGCAGATTGTCTGCCCAGCCCAAACCAGGACATCGATGATGGGTGACCCGGGGCTGCTCCTAGCCTGGGCTGTGGGCCAAAGGAAGGGCACCCAGGTGGCTGCCAGAGGAGGAAGAGGCACGTCTGCACAACCACGGTGGCCCAGGGAGAAGAGACGCGTTGAGGTAGCCTCTTCTCCCCTCTTCCGACACGGACTTAGCCAGCCTCAAAGGGGGGAAGAGCTTCCTGGAGGGAGGTCAGCAACTGTGGCGACTGGAAAGGGGGGTCAGCAGGGGGGCAGCCTGAGGGGGTTTCTTCCGGTCAGATTCTGCACCTCCACTCACCAGACAAAAGCTCCCTCCAAGGAAGCGCCAAAGAGCCGCTGGTGCCGGGCTTCACCGCCTCCAAGGTGGGGAGTGGGAGCCCACAAGAGACGTCGGGCGAATGGCTTCACATGCATGTCCGCCTGGTTGACGGTCAAAGAGCAGGTTTTACACCTGGCTCGGAATAAAGTCTGCAGCCAGGCTCCATCCCGCCACTCACCCTTCCAAGGGCTGCCATGGGAGGTTTTCCACGCAAAGGAGGGAGGGAGCAGCTCTGGGCTTAGGCTGACTGGGATGGAGGCGGGAGGTGGTGAGAGAGGAAACCAGCAATTAGGCGTTGACAGAAATGAAAAGATGGCAGCTCACCACCTGTCAGGGAACTTCCAGCCGCCCAGTTTCCAAAACAAGAGCTTTGCTATGAGGAAGTTTGCTCCGAGTGGGAGGGAGGACGGGCGATGTGGAGTGTTGTGATGCTCCAGGAACCAGGTGAAACCCAATCCGGAGACAAAATGCCAGTTGGACTCTGGCCAAGGGAAGCAAAACATGGGCTTTGTTTTGGCTGCTATTACCATAACCCTTTGGGACACCTTGTCCCACTCAGCTGAGGTTTCCCATAATAACCAGTAATACAAGATCCCTACTGAAATACGTCCTGCCAACGGGGTGGATGAGCTGGGAGGAAGCTGACATCTGGCATTAAGAGTGTCTGGATGAAGATTTGCCTGGCCAGAACAGTCCCTGTTGGATATCTGTGCGGTGGGCACAGCTGGCATCGTCCTTAGGGCCGAAACTGGAGGGGAGGAAGGGCAAAAGTCACCAGCCATTTAATGGAAAGCTTGATAGGAGTTGATAGGTGACTAATTTCTCTCTCCATTTGCTACGAGGGCACGGCCTTCCTTTCATGCAGTAAAAGTCCATCCTGGCCAAATGGCTTCTTTCTTTGATCACTCCAGGGTGCCACCCGGGCACTCGGCCCAGGGCTTGCAGGTGAAACCTACGATGGGACCAGGCTCTGCTCCAGCCCACCACCTTCACGCCAGGGCCATGGCTGGAGTTCGCCATCAGTTCACAAATTGGCTCAGAAGGACATCGCAGTGCCAGCCTGTTCACCGGGGGGGGGGAGCACGCCTGACTAAGCTGCCCAACAGCCCTGGATGCCATCTCCGAAACCAGGGGTCTCCAACCATGGCAACTTTAAGCCTGGTGGACTTCCAGGTGCCAAGGTTGGAGACCCCTGTTCCAAACGGAATCTCTGGCTTTGCATCTCCACTTGAGTGAGGCCATCCTCCTCCTGCTCGTCTGGGGACGCCCTTCTTCCCTGGCTGAAGCAGCCCAGCCAGCAGGGAGACAGGCCCCAGGTTCCAGGCTAGGAAGCGGCCCTCGCTCTCCTTCTGCTGGGCTTTGAACCGACCTGCACTGGGACCTTCGGGTACCCGTAGAACAACCCTCAGGTAGGATGGAAGAAGAAGCCGTGCTTTATAGGGTCAAGGGTAGCCTAGAACCAGCCAAAATCCCTTCCGATGTAAAGAAAACTAATCCAGTCCAACCCAACATTTCTCAACCAAAGGAGGAGACCCATGGAATGAAATGGGAGGAGACCCATGGAATGAAATGGGCCCTTGCATGGCATCTCTGCTCCCTGGCTTTGTCCTGAGCGGCTGGCACTCAGAGAAGGCAGTTGCAACATGAAACCACACTTTGCCAATGGCCACGAAGGATGAAGAGCTGCTGAGCTCATTTAACAAGCCCTCTTGCAAGAATCCAGCCCGGTTTGCCTCTGCCTCGCTCTTCCCCGCCTTGGTGAAGGATCTGCTCCAAAGCCCCCTGGCTGATTCCACCGCTCTCTGGGCAGGGGGCTCGAGACAGCCTCCCATGACGCTGGTCCCAAAGCCCCCCGCCTCTAAGGAGGCCCCTGTGGCATCTCAGCCCTGAGTTGGCTCTTTGCTGGCATCCAGTTAGGTGATTGTCCGCCATGGGCGGGGGGGGGGGGGTCCTCAGGTGGGTCACAGACTTCTGCTATGGGGTGAGCAACCTGCAGGCCAGATGTGGTCCTGGAGCCCCTGGTGTTTTTCAAGCTGCTCTTTGGGTTGCTAACTTCCACCTGCCTCCTGTTCTTTGGGGCTGCCGTAGCGTACCTGATGCCCCTCAGCCCAGGTGGAACTGGGGCTGCAGCACGGAGACAGGCGCGCTCTCTCCTTTGGCCAACTCCAATTCCCAAGGTGTTTTTCCTAGAATATGGAGGATTTTGTGCTGGTCTTCCACTGCATTGTCTTAAGGTCTAGAGAGGCCGAATGGAAATTTTGTGACATTTGCACAGACCATTCAAGCATGGCGCCCTTAAGCACACAACCGATGTGCTCCAGATGCTCTGAGCGGCCACCCCTTAATTTACAGGCTGAGAACATCTTTATCCCAGGAGCGGAGGGGGAGGGGAGAGACAAGAGCCCCTCCCTGGTGCTGAAGAAAAGCGGGGAAGGACAGGACGCCAGAGTCCCAAAGGGTGGGGCCCCTCTGCCAGGACAAGTTACAGCAGCGACATTTAGGCCAAGCCAACTGACCAAAGAAGTCAAAGAGAGGGGAGGGACCTTCGAGATCATTTAGTCCAACCCTGCCAGAAGCAGGAATCCGGCATCTCCAACGGTGCACCACACAGCCTGTTATTAAAGCGCCTCCACCAGGACATTTTGCCTGATATCAAACCAAAATCGATTCCTTTTTCTTTTTCACACCGGAGACTCTTCCGATCCCTCCCCCCCCCCCCCGCAAGCCTTCCACTACAGCGATCAAGCGCAAGGGGGGCGCATGGGAAGCTCTTCCTGCACTACAGCCTGGCTCTGCGCCCCCAACGCCAACGCCCCCACCTGAAAGCAGGCCGGCCTAAGCCGGGACGGGTCCCAGACCGACCCCCCTGTTGCTGGCCAGCAATGCGGCGGAGGGGGGGGGCTCGGACTCAGGTCCGCCTTGTTGGCCTCTGAGGGGCCCCCGGAGGACCAAGGAACGCCCCCTTCGGCCTCGAGGGGGGTTCGGCGGACACCGGGGCAGCCTCCACGACGTTTCCGGGGTCGCGGATCCCTCCGGCGCCCTTCCTGGCGGCGCCCAGCCACCCGCGCGGAGGAGCGGGCCGCGTCCCCCGGGACCAGAGACGCGGCCGAGGACCGGCTCCTCCCCGGCTGCGCGCCGCGGGCCCGTGCCCGGGAAAAGAGAGCCGCGTCCCGCGAGCGGCAGGCGGGCTCCGCTCGCTGCATTGCGCCGCCCGAGCCCCGCCGCCTTCCCGGCGCGACGGACGGGCAGCGATGGGCTCCCGGCTGAGCCGGCCGAGCGGCGCGGAGGCGACGGGCGTTCGCGGCCGCTCCAAGAGGTCCCTCCGCAGCAGGAGCCGCCCGGAGGAGCCGCCGCGCCGCCTCGGGCCGGACTGCCGGCTGGCTTCGCTGCTGCTCGGCTCGGAGAAGCTGCCGGCGGGGCTGCGCAAGAACCGGCCGGCGGCGCCCTACGTGCGGCGGGTGGGCTGGATCCGGCAGATCCAGGCCACCCTCCGCGAGCGCCAGCCCGAGCGGGCCATGCAGCTCCTGCGGCTGCTGCGGAAGGTAAGCGAGCCCCGGCGGCGGCGGCGCCGGAGGGAGGGAGGGAGGGAGGCGGCGGCGCCGGGGCCAGACGCGCCGAGCCTTCTCCGGCACAGCCAGCGGGGCGGACGCGGCTCCGGCGAAAGTGGCCGCCGTGGCGAAGCGGCCGGTGTGGCGAGACGCTCCGCTCCGAGCGCGGCTGACGGCCCGGCTGGCGGGATGGAAACGGCGCCGCGAAAGGCCGAAGTCGCCCGCCTGCCCGGCCGCGGGGATCGGGGGCAAAAAAACGCGGCTGTGGCGCTTGGCTTCTTCCTCCGACGGCGGGCGGCGTGGGTGCGAGGTGGGTGCGGGCTGCCCTTAAAGGAGAGTCAATGGAATGGAAGGGCATAAAATCGAATAAGGAAGGGAAGGGACTAGAATAAGAATGAATAAGAAGAGAATAGAACATGGAATGGAATTTGATTGTCATTTTCAGTGTACACTAATCAGCATACATTAAAATGAAATGTTGTTACATTCAGCTTTCCAAAGATAACCGTTATGCATATAGTCCCCACCACCACCACCAACACACACACACACACACACACACACACACACACACACAC